GTTACTGTGATGGTGTTTCCTTGAACAACCTCTTGTTACTGTGATGGTGTTTCCTGTGAACAACCTCTTGTTACTGTGATGGTGTTTCCTGGAACAACCTCCTGTTACCGTGATTGTGTTTCCTGTGAACAACCTCCTGTTACTGTGATGGTGTTTCCTGTGAACAACCTCCTGTTACTGTGATGGTGTTTCCTGTGAACAGCCTCCTGTTACTGTGATGGTGTTTCCTTGAACAACCTCCTGTTACTGTGATGGTGTTTTCTGTGAACAACCTCCTGTTACTGTGATGGTGTTTCCTGTGAACAGCCTCCTGTTACTTTGATGGTGTTTCCTATGAACACCCTCCTGTTACTGTGATGGTGTTTCCTGTGAACAACCTTCTGTAATGTGATGGTGTTTCCTGTAACAACCTCCTGTTACTGTGATGGTGTTTCCTGTGAACAGCCTTCTGTTACTGTGATGGTGTTTCCTGTGAACAACCTCCTGTTACTGTGATGGTGTTTCCTGTGAACAACCTCTTGTTACTGTGATGGTGTTTCCTGTGAACAACCTCCTGTTACTGTGATGGTGTTTCCTGTGAACAGCCTCCTGTTACTGTGATGGTGTTTCCTGTGAACAACCTCCTGTTACTGTGATGGTGTTTCCTGGGAACAACTTCTTATCACTGTGATGGTGTTTCCTTTGAAAAGCCTCCTGGTACAGTGATGGTGTTTCCTGTGAACAGCCTCCTGTTACTTTGATGGTGTTTCCTATGAACACCCTCCTGTTACTGTGATGGTGTTTCCTGGAATAACCTTCTGTTACTGTGATGGTGTTTCCTGTGAACAACCTCCTGTTACTGTGATGGTGTTTCCTGTGAACAACCTCCTGTTACTGTGATGGTGTTTCCTATGAACAGTCGTCTGTCACTGTGATGGTGTTTCCTGTGAACAACCTCCTGTCTCTGTGATAGTGATTCCTGTGAACAACCTCCTGTTACTGTAATGGTGTTTCCTGTGAACAACCTCCTGATACTATGATGTTGTTTCCTGTGAACATCATCCCGTCACCGTGATGGTGTTTCTTGTGAACAGCCTCCTGTCATTGTGATGGTGTTTCCTGTAATAACCTCCTGTTACTGTGATGGTGTTTCCTGTGAACAACCTCCTGTCACTGTGATGGTGTTTCCTGTGAACAACCTCCTGTCACTGTGATGGTGTTTCCTGTGAACAACCTGGTGTTTCCTGTGAACAACCGTCTGTCCAATGTTTGCTTTGTGTTGTGAAGTTTGTTCTTCTGTTGTGATGGTGTTTCCTGTGAACAGCCTCCTGTTACTGTGATGGTGTTTCCTGTGAACAGTCTACTGTTACTATGATGGTGTTTCCTGTGAACAGCCTCTGTTACTGTGATAGTGTTTCCTGTGAACAACCTCCTGTTACTGGGATGGTGTTTCCTTGAACAACCTCCTGTTACTGTGATGGTGTTTTCTCTGAACACCCTCCTGTTACTGTGATGGTGTTTCCTTGAACAACCTCTTGTTACTGTGATGTTGTTTCCTGTGAACAACCTCTTGTTACTGTGATGGTGTTTCCTGTACCTCCTGTTACTGTGATGGTGTTTCCTACTGAACAACCTCCTGTTACTGTGATGGTGGTTTCTGTGAACAGCCTCCTGTTACTGTGATGGTGTTTCCTTGAACAACCTCCTGTCACTGTGATGGTGTTTTCTGGGAACAACCTCCAGTCATTTCGATGGTGTTTCCTGTGAACAACCTTCTGTTATGTGATGGTGTTTCCTTGAACAACCTCCTGTTACTGTGATGGTGTTTCCTTGAACAACCTCTTGTTACTGTGATGGTGTTTCCTGTGAACAACCTCCTGTTACTGTGATGGTGTTTCCTGGAACAACCTCCTGTTACTGTGATGGTGTTTCCTTGAACAACCTCTTGTTACTGTGATGGTGTTTCCTTGAACAACCTCCTGTTACTGTGATGGTGTTTCCTGTGAACAACCTCCTGTTACTGTGATGGTGTTTCCTGTGAACAGCCTCCTGTTACTGTGATGGTGTTTCCTGGAACAACCTCCTGTTACTGTGATGGTGTTTCCTGTGAACAACCTCCTGTTACTGTGATGGTGTTTCCTGTGAACAACCTCCTGTCACTGTGATGGTGTTTCCTGTGAACAACCTCCTGTTACTGTGATGGTGTTTCCTGTGAACAACCTCCTGTCACTGTGATGGTGTTTCCTGTGAACAACCTCCTGTTACTGTGATGGTGTTTCCTGTGAACAACCTCCTGTTACTGTGATGGTGTTTCCTATGAACAGTCGTCTGTCACTGTGATGGTGTTTCCTGTGAACAACCTCCTGTTACTGTGATGGTGTTTCCTGTGAACAACCTCTGTCACTGTGATGGTGTTACTCTGATGATGGTGTTTCACTGGAATAACCTCCTGTTACTGTAATGATGTTTCCAGTGAACAGCCCTCCTGTCACTGTGATGGTGTTTCCTGGGAACAACCTTCTGTTACTGTGATGGTGTTTCCTGGGAACAATCTTCTGGTACTGTGAGTGTGTTTTCTGTGAACAACCTCCTGTTATTGTGATGCTGTTTCCTTGAACAACCCCCTGTCACTGTGATGGTGTTTTCTGTGAACAGCCATCTGTCACTGTGATGGTGTTTCCTGTGAACAACCTCTCTGTTACTGTGATGGTGTTTCCTGTGAACAGCCTACTGTTACTGTGATGGTGTTTCATGTGAAAAACCTCCTGTTACTGTGATGGTGTTTCCTTTGAAAGTCTCCCGTTACTGTTATGGTGTTTCCTGTGAACAACCTCCTGTCATTTTGATGGTGTTTCCTGTGAACAGCCTCCTGTTACTGTGATGTTGTTTCCTGTAACAACCTCCTGTCATTGTGATGGTGTTTCCTGTGAACATCCTCTGTTACTGTGATAGTGTTTCCTATGAACAACCTCCTGTTACTGTGATGGTGTTTCCAGGAACAACCTCCTGTTCCTATGATGGTGTTTCCTGTTAACATCCTCCCGTCAATGTGATGGTGTTTCCTGTGAACAACCTCCTGTCACTGTGATGGTGTTTCCTGTGAACAGCCTACTGTTACTGTGATGGTGTTTCCAGGAACAACCTCCTGTTCCTGTGATGGTGTTTCCTGTGAACAGATTCCTGTTACTGTAATGGTGTTTTCTGTGAACAACCTCCTGTTACTGTGATGTTGCTTCCTTGAACAACCTCCTGTTACTGTGATGGTGTTTTCTGTGAAAAACCTTCTGTTACTGTGATAGTGTTTTCTGTGAACAACCTTCTGTTACTGTGATGGTGTTTTCTGTGAACAACCTCTGTTAATGTGATGGTGTTTCCAGTGAACAGCCTCCTGTCACTGTGATGGTGTTTCCTGTGAACAACCTTCTGTCACTGTGATGGTGTTTCCTGTGAACAGCCTACTGTTACTGTGATGGTGTTTCCAGGAACAACCTCCTGTTCCTATGATGGTGTTTCCTGTTAACATCCTCCCGTCACTGTGATGGTGTTTCCTGTGAACAGCCTCCTGTCACTGTGATGGTGTTTCCTGTGAACAGCCTTCTGTTACTGTGATGGTGTTTCCTGTGAACAACCTTCTGTTACTGTGATGGTGTTTCCTGGGAACAACATGCCGTTACTGTGATGTTGTTTCCTGTGAACAGCCTCCTGTCACTGTGATGGTATTTCACACTGATAGTAACTTTTTTCTAGTCTCTTAATAAATCACGGATGATTATATCGACATTTGGGAACAAATGACTTCCATAACTCTGTCGGGTAGATCTCAATTTTAGATTGGCTTTTTCATCAGGAGGTAGAATTACTACAGTACAGCAGTGCATATATCGGCAGAGCCACTTTTCTGCTTTCTATGTTCATGATATGTCAGCTTTTTGTTTTACAGAATTCCAGGCAAGAAGGGTTAGTGGATTAAGAATACCATTTGATTATTTTCTATAAAATTAATAATTACGAAAAATCCGAAAAGAGGCAAGCAGAAGTTTTCAACAACAACAATGAAAATATGTAAATCAACAATACCACACTACGGTTAACCACATTGTCATTTATCCTTAACGTGCATCTTCTTCTCTATCAAGTTAGGGTATCTTTTAAAAAAAATAGAAAATATAGTTTTCTTGATAAGAAATCTGATTTAATATGTGTTTTATAGAATAGAAAGCAGGCATCTGGAATATTAAACTTTAAACTTTATTTATTTTACAGCCATTGCGAAACAAGTTATTTCAACTAATCACTCTTGTTGGCCCGGATGTGAGCGCGAGAGGGGTCTTGTTGTTGAAGGAAACCGGAGTACCCCGGGAAAAACCCACATGGTCGGGCAGGTGACCTTTACCTTTTCACATCCGTTCCAGGAGTCCAACCCCGGACGGCTAGGTGAAAGGCGAGTGCGTTAGCACTGCACCACCCGACCGACCACCCTGGTATTCTTTACCGTATTAGATGAGTAATTTAATATCTAATTTAACGAATTCAAATTCCAATTAATTTTTTTTTTATGATCTATAGATATCTTATGAAACACATTACACATCTTCAGTGGTTTGATTGAGTGTTGAATCAATGGTCAACTAGTCTTATTATATATACAAATAAAATACGTGGTGTTGAAAGAAATCAGCGGGAAGCATTATCACAAACCAACCTGTGCAGGTTGCAGATGTTGTACAACCCGCGAACAAGGAAACTTAGGAAAACAAAAGATTCGATTTAACGGCTACAGAGTTAAGTGACATACAAAGACTTAGCACTAAGCTTGTATTCTCACAAAAGAAATAATGACGCACAAAAACCGATGCTTCTATTGTTTACTTAACGTATGTCTACAATAATATCTCAATGTATTATACGGTATATTATAACCATTAGTAATGTGTTTTGTTGAAGATCACGTGTGTCGACTTATATAGAAACTTAAGGACTATATAACATCTGTAATTCTAGGTGATGTTGGAAGGAACGGCGACATTACGGCATGATGACTCCTTCATCGCTGGTAAGTCTGTGATGCTTCGTCTCTAGTTAATCCACACTGAATATGTTAAGAAGTCTGTGGTATTTAGTCTCTAGTTAATCCACACTGACTATGTTAGGAAGTCTGTGAGGTTTAGTCTCTAGTTTATCCACTCTGACTACGTTAGGGAGTCTGTGAGGATTAGTCTCTAGTTAATCCACACACTGACTATGCTAGTAAGTCTGTGATGTTTAGATCTAGGTTATCCACACTTTGACTATGTTAGGAGGTATGTAATGCTTCGTCTCTTGCTAATCCGCACTATGTTAGGAAGTCTGTGAGGTTTAGTCTCTAGTTAATCAACAATCTGACTATGTTAGGGAGTCTGTGGTGTTTAGTTTCCAGTTAATCCGCCCTATGTTAGGGACTCTGTGGTGTTTAATCTCTAGTTAACCCACACTGACTATGTTAGGGAGTCTGTGGTCTTTTATCTCTAGTTAATCCACACACTGACTATGTTAGGAAGTCTGTGATGCTTCGTCTCTAGGTAATCCACACTGACAATGTAAGTAAGTCTGTGGTGTTTAGTCTTTAGTTAATCCACACTGACTATGTTAGGAAGTCTGTGAGGTTTAGTCTCTAGTTAATCCACACTCTGACTATGTTAGGAAGTCTGTAGTGTTTAGTCTCTAGTTAATCCGCACAATGTCAGGAAGTCTGTGGTGTTTAGTCTTTAGTTAATCCACACTAGGTTAGGAAGTTTGTGGTGTTTAATCTCTAGTTAATCCACACGCTGACTATGTTAGGAAGTCTGTGGTGTTCAGTCTCTAGTTAATCCACACGCTGACTATGTTAGGAAGTCTGTGGTGTTTAGTCTCTAGTTAATCCAGACTCTGACTATGCTAGGAAGTCTGTGGTGTTCAGTCTCTAGTTAATCCACACTCTGACTATGTTAGGAAGTCTGTGGTGTTCAGTCCCTAGTTAATCCACCCTCTGACTATGTTAGGAAGTCTGTGTTGTTTAGTCTCTAGTTAATCCGCACTATGTCAGGAAGTCTGTGGTGTTTAGTCTCTAGTTAATCCACACTCTGACTATGTTAGGAAGTCTGTGGTGTTTAGTCTCTAGTTAATCCATACTGATTATGTTAGAAAGTCTATGGTGTTTAGTCTCTAGTTAATCCACACTCTGACTATGTTAGGGTGTGTGTGGTGTTTAATCTCTAGTTAATCCACACGCTGACTATGTTAGGAAGTCTGTGGTGTTTAGTCTCTAGTTAATCCAGACTCTGACTATGTTAGGAAGTCTGTGGTGTTTAGTCTCTAGTTAATCCACACTCTGACTATGTTAGGAAGTCTGTGGTGTTCAGTCCCTAGTTAATCCACCCTCTGACTATGTTAGGAAGTCTGTGTTGTTTAGTCTCTAGTTAATCCACACTATGTCAGGAAGTCTGTGGTGTTTAGTCTCTAGTTAATCCACACTCTGACTATGTTAGGAAGTCTGTGGTGTTTAGTCTCTAGTTAATCCATACTGATTATGTTAGAAAGTCTATGGTGTTTAGTCTCTAGTTAATCCACACTCTGACTATGTTAGGGTGTGTGTGGTGTTTAATCTCTAGTTAATCCACACTGATTATGTTAGGAAGTCTGTGGCATTTAGTCTCTAGTTAATCCACACTCTAACTACGTTAGGAAGTCTGTGGTATATAGTCTCTAGTTAATCCACACTCTGACTCTGCTAGGAAGTCTGTGAGGTTTAGTCTCTAGTTAATCCACACTGACTATGTTAGGAAGTCTGTGAAGTTTAGTCTCTATTTAATCCACACTGACTACGTTAGGAAGTCTGCGAGGTTTAGTCTCTAGTTAATCCACACTCTGACTATGCTAGTAAGTCTGTGATGCTTCGTCTCTAGTTAATCCACACTCTGACTACTATAGGGAGTCTGTGAGGATTAGTCTCTAGTTGATCCACACTGATTGTGTTATGAAGTCTGTGATGCTGCGTCTCTAGTTAATCCGCACTATGTTAGGAAGTCTGTGGTGTTTAGTCTCTAGTTAATCCACACTCTGACTATGTTAGGAAGTCTGTGGTGTTCAGTCTCTAGTTAATCCACACTCTGACTATGTTAGGAAGTCTGGTTTAGTCTCTAGTTAATCTGACTATGTTAAGAAATCCAGTTAATCCACACTCTGACTATGTTAGGAAGTCTGTGGTGTTTAGTAGTTAATCCACACTCTGACTATGTTAGGAAGTCTGTGGTGTTTAGTCTCTAGTTAATCCACACTCTGACTATGTTAGGAAGTCTGTGGTGTTTAGTCTCTAGTTAATCCACACTCTGACTATGTTAGGAAGTCTGTGGTGTTTAGTCTCTAGTTAATCCACACTCTGACTATGTTAGGAAGTCTGTGATGCTGCGTCTCTAGTTAATCCGCACTATGTTAGGAAGTCTGTGGTGTTTAGTCTTTAGTAAATCCACACACTATGTCTGTCTCCATTAAATCCTCTGACTGTGTTAGGAAGTCTGTGAGGTTTAGTCTCTAGTTAATCCACACTCTGACTATGTTAGGAAGTCTGTGAGTTTAGTTCTCTAGTTAATCCTCACTCTGACTATGCTAGGAAGTCTATGGTGTTTAGTCTCTAGTTATTCCACACTCTGACTATGTTAGGAAGTCTGTGGTGTTTAGTCTCTAGTTAATCCACACACTGACTATGTTAGGAAGTCTGTGAGGTTTAGTCTCTAGTTAATCCACACTATGTTAGGAAGTCTGACTATGTTATGAAGTCTGTGAGGTTTAGTCTCTAGTTAATCAACAATCTGACTATGTTTGGAAGTCTATGGTGCTTCATCCACACTTTGACTATGTTAGGAAGTCTGTGGTGTTTAGTCTCTAGTTAATCCACTCTGACTATGCTATGATGTCTTTGAGGTTTAGTCTCCAGTTAAGCACTCTGACTATGCTATGATGTCTTTGAGGTTTAGTCTCTAGTTAATCCACACTCACTATGCTATGATGTCTTTGAGGTTCAGTCTCTAGTTAATCCACACTCTGACTATGTTAGGAAGTCTGTGATGCTGCGTCTCTAGTTAATCCGCACTATGTTAGGAAGTCTGTGGTGTTTAGTCTCTAGTTAATCCACACTCTGACTATGTTAGGAAGTCTGTGGTGTTCAGTCCCTGTTAATCCAGACTCTGACTATGTTAGAAGTCTTTAATCTCTAGTTAATCCGCACTATGTCAGGAAGTCTGTGGTGTTTAGTCTCTAGTTAATCCACACTCTGACTATGTTAGGAAGTCTGTGATGTTTAGTCTCTAGTTAATCCACACTATGTCAGGAAGTCTGTGGTGTTTAGTCTCTAGTTAATCCACACTCTGACTATGTTAGGAAGTCTGTGGTGTTCAGTCCCTAGTTAATCCACCCTCTGACTACGTTAGGAAGTCTGTGAGGTTTAGTCTCTAGTTAATCCACACTGACTATGTTAAGAAGTCTTTGAGGTTTAGTCTCTAGTTAATCCACAATCTGACTATGCTAGTAAGTCTGTGATGCTTCGTCTGTATTTAATCCACACTCTGACTACGTTAGGGAGTCTGTGAGGATTAGTCTCTAGTTAATCCACACACTGACTATGTTAGGAAATCTATGGTGTTTAGTCTCTAGTTAATCCACACTCTGACTATGCTAGTAAGTCTGTGATGCTTGTCTCTAGTTAATCCACACTATGCTAGGAAGTCTGTGGTATTTAGTTTCTAGTTAATCCACACACTGACTATGTTAGGAAGTCTGTGATGCTTCGTCTCTAGTTAATGCGCACTATGTTAGGAAGTCTATGGTGTTTAGTCTCTAGTTAATCCACACTCTGACTATGTTAGGAAGTCTATGGTGTTTAGTCTTTAGTAAATCCACACTCTGACTATGTTAGGAAGTCTGTGAAGTTTAGTCTCTAGTTAATCCTCACTCTGACTATGCTAGGAAGTCTATGGTGTTTAGTCTCTAGTTATTCCACACTCTGACTATGTTAGGAAGTCTGTGGTGTTTAGTCTCTAATTAATCCACACACTGACTATGTTAGGAAGTCTGTGATGCTTCGTCTCTAGTTAATCCACACTCTGACTATGTTAGGAAGTCTGTAGTGTTGAGCTATGTTATGAAGTCTGTGAGGTTTAGTCTCTAGTTAATCAACAATCTGACTATGTTTGGAAGTCTATGGTGTTTAGTCTCTAGTTCATCCACACTTTGACTATGTTAGGAAGTCTGTGGTGTTTAGTCTCTAGTTAATCCAGACTCTGACTATGCTATGATGTCTTTGAGGTTTAGTCTCCAGTTAATCCGCACTCTGACTATGCTATGATGTCTTTGAGGTTTAGTCTCTAGTTAATCCACACTCTGGCTATGCTATGATGTCTTTGAGGTTCAGTCTCTAGTTAATCCACACTCTGACTATGTTAGGAAGTCTGTGATGCTGCGTCTCTAGTTAATCCGCACTATGTTAGGAAGTCTGTGGTGTTTAGTCTTTAGTAAATCCACACTCTGACTATGTTAGGAAGTCTGTGGTGTTCAGTCCCTAGTTAATCCAGACTCTGACTATGTTAAGTAGTCTTTGAGGTTTAGTCTCTAGTTAATCCACACTGACTATGTTAGGAAGTCTGTGATGCTTCGTCTCTAGTTAATCCACACTCTGACTACGTTAGGAAGTCTGTGAGGTTTAGTCTCTAGTTAATCCACACTGACTATGTTAAGAAGTCTTTGAGGTTTAGTCTCTAGTTAATCCACAATCTGACTATGCTAGTAAGTCTGTGATGCTTCGTCTGTATTTAATCCACACTCTGACTACGTTAGGGAGTCTGTGAGGATTAGTCTCTAGTTAATCCACACACTGACTATGTTAGGAAATCTATGGTGTTTAGTCTCTAGTTAATCCACACTCTGACTATGCTAGTAAGTCTGTGATGCTTCGTCTCTAGTTAATCCACACTATGCTAGGAAGTCTGTGGTATTTAGTTTCTAGTTAATCCACACACTGACTATGTTAGGAAGTCTGTGATGCTTCGTCTCTAGTTAATGCGCACTATGTTAGGAAGTCTATGGTGTTTAGTCTCTAGTTAATCCACACTCTGACTATGTTAGGAAGTCTGTGGTGTTTAGTCTCCATTAAATCCATAATCTGACTGTGTTAGGAAGTCTGTGAGGTTTAGTCTCTAGTTAATCCACACTCTGACTATGTTAGGAAGTCTGTGAAGTTTAGTCTCTAGTTAATCCTCACTCTGACTATGCTAGGAAGTCTATGGTGTTTAGTCTCTAGTTATTCCACACTCTGACTATGTTAGGAAGTATGTGGTGTTTAGTCTCTAATTAATCCACACACTGACTATGTTAGGAAGTCTGTGATGCTTCGTCTCTAGTTAATCCACACTCTGACTATGTTAGGAAGTCTGTAGTGTTGAGCTATGTTATGAAGTCTGTGAGGTTTAGTCTCTAGTTAATCAACAATCTGACTATGTTTGGAAGTCTATGGTGTTTAGTCTCTAGTTCATCCACACTTTGACTATGTTAGGAAGTCTGTGGTGTTTAGTCTCTAGTTAATCCAGACTCTGACTATGCTATGATGTCTTTGAGGTTTAGTCTCCAGTTAATCCACACTCTGACTATGCTATGATGTCTGTGAGGTTTAGTCTCTAATTAATCCAGACTCTGACTATTTTAGTAAGTCTGTGAGGTTTAGTCTCCAGTTAATCCGCACTCTGACTATGCTATGATGTCTTTGAGGTTTAGTCTCTAGTTAATCCACACTCTGGCTATGCTATGATGTCTTTGAGGTTTAGTCTCCAGTTAATCCACACTCTGGCTATGGTAGGAAGTCTGTGAGGTTTAGTCTCCAGTTAATCCACACTCTGACTATGCTATGATGTCTTTGAGGTTTAGTCTCTAGTTAATCCACACTCTGGCTATGTTAGGAAGTCTGTGAGGTTTAGTCTCCAGTTAATCCACACTCTGACTATGCTATGATGTCTTTGAGGTTTAGTCTCTAGTTAATCCACACTCTGGCTATGCTATGATGTCTTTGAGGTTTAGTCTCTAGTTAATCCACACTCTGGCTATGCTATGATGTCTTTGAGGTTTAGTCTCTAGTTAATCCACACTCTGACTATGCTATGATGTCTTTGAGGTTTAGTCTCTAGTTAATCCACACTCTGGCTATGTTAGGAAGTCCTTTTTCTTTCTTTCAAATACTTGGTAAATAAAAGGGGATTATAATTAGTGTTAATGAGGGGGGAAAACAAGATTTCTGACTGTCCAATTTCTGAAAATCTATCATTTTATTATATTTGATGGCTAGCCATTTTCAATTTTCATTGTCTTACTAAATAAAATTTTACAAATATCAAAGTTTGATATACACTCTTTCATTCGACAATAGTAAATGTGGAGTTTTAATAAAAAAGTGATTTGTTTTAAACAAGGCCCAAACTTTCGATTTCCAAACAATATGTCTACATATTGAAAGGATATAAAATTTAATTGAATTTCGTATAGTACATACCAGGCAGTAATTTGACATGGATCCAACTCTACTTGGCAAATTTAGAAGCTGGAGTAACTCAAGGCTTACGATTCACGTGCTGTATCTACACCTTCTACACCCATAGCATCACTGAAGAGTCATAGAAGGACGAAACAGCTGTTTGATGCAGTTTAATTCATTGTTTGACTCTACAATATCTCACTCTAAATTAAGGTGCTATTCACGTGTATGTCTGTTATGTGTGAGTGATCCTGAAGGAAAGGAGGATGTTATATAATGTAATTTGCGTATGACATCTCGTTATTTTTTTCAAATATTTGTTTATAATCAACAACAGTCAGGTATTTTTCTGAATAAATATTTTCAGAAATCATGAAATTGGGGGAAAATGGGGAATAATTTTCTGTTCTGTCAGAACTAGATCCTTAATAGTATGTAAAATATAAGATTTAGAAGTAAAAGCACAAGATTATATTACACAGAGTATGTTATTGACAGGATGGAAAAAAATTACAGAATAGAACAACATATCTAATTTTGTAACATAATACATCAATTAACTATCTTCATGAAATTCTGCAACTTTGCATATTTAACTAAGAAGAGTTATAAACTGAGGCCCCCTATTAAAAAGAAAATAAGTACTTAAAAAAACAAGATTCCTTGTACGGGTTACGTATTTCACCGGCATTCTTAAAAATCTAGCCCGAGGTCTCTATCACTCACTCTTCTGTTTATACAGGGTTTTCCAAATTGGCTTAGAAAATACGAAATTGTAACAAAAAAAGTATCATTATTTCAACAAATATCAATAACTCTGCACCTGTCTGATGGTGTATTATTTAATTTTTGTACCATTTTGATGATGCAAATACCGAACTTGGCAGACATGTTGTTCCTTCAAAGAGTCTTTGCTGTGTTTGCGACCAAGGGATTCGCCAACCTAGCGATATGATAATATATTTCTTGTTTTCGTTGATAAATATTTAACCAGAAAATGCTTTTGTATCTAATTTTAATGCTGTCTTTCCCAGCTGATATTCCTCATTAGTGTAGTACTGCCCTCGGAAGCGATTCACCCTATCGACTACCCGGATGACTGGAAGGATTGCTTGAGAGAAATTGGCTCGGAAATACCAGTGAAAAAGGAAGACGGGGCGGTGACTGTAAGCACCTGTCTTGATCAGTTCTTGTTCAGGCACAGTTTTCAGGCATGGCATTCCGAACCAACTCCGGAATACGAGTCTTTCAAAAATGAGTTCTGTGCTCCTAGGTCGTACGAAGAGGAGCCTATTCGAGTACGAAAGGAGTACAGAAGTTTGACGAAGGACGAAAGGAAGAGGTTTCACCAAGCTTTAAATAAACTGAGAGACAATGGAGTGAGTACCATTTTTAAAGGTGTTCAAGTTTGTATCTATTTGTAAACAAAATGGAACGAACTCCGGCTTACATCAAAACATTTTTTAAAAAATTACATGTTTATGAATGAAATAGCTGAAGATAAATGGAATGTGTGGGATTATCAACATTTAAAAAGATTTCGATTTACTTTCATAACAGGACTGAATTTTAATTTAGAGATAAAAAAAACTGAATGCGAAAAACATTTGTTCTGGAATAAGTAACATTTACACAGGGGTGTGTAAATACTTATTGACTGTATCAAAGTATAGGAATACAGAAATAACAAAAATCATTTTACGTATATGGAACAATGGATGAATGAATGAATGAATTTGATATAGTATCAATCTTAATGTGATTTCCTGAGTCTTGTGTATAAAACCTGGTGGCAGAAATGTATAAATCTAGTTCTGCTGATGATTTGCTTTTAAATGATAGTTTTGAGGAAGTAAGTTAGATGTTAGAAATAATTAATTTCTGGATTTACTCTACAGCTACATACGTAATGATATATAAACATTTCGACGTCAACTTAGCCGTCACAAAACGTAACCCATGAACGAATAATCTACAAAATATTCAGATCAGGTGTTCCACTTAATCATTTTTTAAACAAAATCATTACATGATATTAAATTTATATACCTTTTTCCAGTCAAATCTGTCTGTTATACTTCGTTTTAAAAAAATAAATGAGCTATGTCTTTTCCCACGTGTTACTGTTGTTGCTATGGTTACTAGTAATGTCTCCTTTACCGTGTGTTACTGTTGTTTCCATGGTTACTAAGAATGTCTCTTTTACCATGTGTTACTGTTGTTGCTATGGTTACTAGGAATGGCTCTTTTACCATGTGTTACTTTTGTTGCTATGGTTACTAGGAATATGTATTGTACACCATGTATATCTCCAATTATAACATATATATTACGTTTGATAGAAAGGTATCGCACTCGATGAATTTCGAAATCTGATTAAATTCTTTTCCCATGTTTCACTGTTGTTTATTTATAGACTTACGCAAATATAGTCAGTTACCATGCCGACTCAAGCGCAATACCTGTAGCTCATGGCGGACCTGGATTCACACCATGGCATAGAATATATCTCTTGAGGTAACTTTCCTAAACATGTTTTTATAAACAATCTCTTCGTTATTTTGTCAATGTCTCCTAGGTCTTCAAAAAATTTATAACGAAAACTGAACAACAAATATAATGTTTCTAAAAAGATAGCACGAATATAAACCATCTATCAACTATATCCGGATAAAATAGCATTTTGCTTTTTGTATTAACCCGTAATAATGAAAGGAGAAAAAAAATTGAATGGTTATTTCGTTGTTTTGACATTTCATCTGCTGCCAATGATTTTGCGATGGGTTGAGATACTTAAAAAAGTATTTTTATACTATTTCAAATAAAATCCAGAATTACTTAATAGTTTGCCCCGAGATTTCCCTATCTCACACTTATCAGATTGAAAAATTATTTTTCTCTTAACCTAATTTCCGAGTGCAAGATGAGGTGTACTGTGTGTATACAAAAACACGCGGACACATTAAGAATTAACCTTACATATGATATGATTCTGGATTACATGCCAATAAATCGTCAAATGAAATTATACGCTTTGTATTATATATATATATTTGATAATAATAACGGATAAAGATTAGTATCAGTCCTGATGATAACATAAGATTGCATTAGCAAACGAACTTGTGTATGTGTGACGTCATAAAAGTAGCTCCACTTCCACTGTTTTCAGAACGCGCAAAGAGCACGTGTAGTTTGTCTCAGCCATGGGATGAGACAAGGGAATCTCACATCGGGAAAAAACGTGGATTTACCTGTCTAGACTATGACAACATTCTGATACTAGAGATCTCGGGCACAAACTTAATCACAACTTCATTATCTTGTTTCAGTATGAGGTGGTACACCAGCCGTTTTTCTGGTCTGTTCAAATATTGCTTTAGTTTAGTTTTGCCACAAGTAAACTGTGTTCTATTCAGCATTGCAGGAGTGTGATTTGAATTGTGCTGAAATGTACAAAGTGGGAGAAAAATAGTCAGCGATATGTAGGTATGTAGGATAAGGGATATTCTACCTCGGGTTTCCCTCGTGAAGAATGTCTTTTTCCAACATACCTTCGTATGAGTGACTCGAAATAGGGACTCATTGTCGAGGTTTTATTAACATTTACACCTTATCAGTCGCTCTTGATAAAAAATGGCAGTAATTTTTTTTATTTATTTTGTTTCGTCATTTTGTTTTGTCATTTTGTTTTTAAGCTTTTCGTTTCCAAATTCTTTCTTTTCCTTAAATGACGATTTTGCAACAAAAAAAAAACCCCAAAAAACAGATGAGATATTGAAACTTTGCGACTGATCGCCTATATAGGATCCTCTTCATTCAGCTAGAGATGAATACTCTTTGATGTGATAGATAGTATTCCCTGTGCTCTCCGATCGAAATCCGTTCAAAATGCATAATAAGAGCAGGTCGTTTGATTATAGCTGTTTAAACTCGGCGTGTCCTTGAAATGATCCAAAATATTTTTTCGGATAATTCCTACTGGAAGAAATATTTGTTGTTTCAGACTTGAAGATGAACTTCGCAAATATGAACCTGACCTAGCTTTTCCGTATTGGGATTGTCGAATTGAAGCCGATTTGTATGAAGAAGGGTTAAGCCCACACTGGTCGAAACTTTGGAACAATCAGTTTGTTGGGTACGGAGCAGATATTGTGACAAAAGGACCATTCAAAGACTGGGGACTAAGACGTCGATTAGGAGATGGAGAGCTACCGAACAGGGAACGGGTAGAAAGGCTGTTCAATGCTACAGGTCCGGAAATGACGTCACCATCGTACTGGGATTCACCACTTGGGTATCTTGAAATTTTGCACAACTGGATACACATCTGGGTGGGCGGTAACTTGGCCAGTATTCGCTTTGCTCCAGAAGATCCGCTATTTTTCCTTCTGCACTGTTTTGTAGACTACCTTTGGGAAGAAATACGCGTTTATTATGAGGTAAATCATCACCTTAATCCAGAGGAGAATTTTCCGGACATCTCCAATTTTCCGCCTGAAATCCAAGCCTTACACCATCCTGATGGCAATTTACCAGGGTTTGATAATCTAACAATACGAGATGGCTATTCAAAGATTTGGACAAGGGATGTCTACCATTATGAACAAAGCCCAGCTGAAAAGGATTGCTCAGAGTGCAGCGATAATGACGTACGTAGAAAATGCATAGACATATGCGGAAAAAATTTGAAGTGCAAAAATGGAAAATGCGTTGCAAAATTGTTGGTTCCTACGTTCTTTGATGACTTTTCACAAGAATTCCAACCGCCAACATCCAGAGTTCGCAGACAGGCTGATGGGGAACCTGACTGTTCTAATGGGGTTTGTGACTATGCCGAACCTGCTATTCAAAACGACTTCATGTGTAACGGAGAGGACGACACGAATCTCTTCAAGTGGGTTGCTATAAAGCTGCTACACAGACGACCTAAACATCAAAAGTTCAACACCTATGCTGTGCATGAAGGCCACATTGACACGTCATATGATCTATTTGACCCCATCCAGTTTCATGATCTTGAGCAGGAGATGCACACTGGCGACCCGGGAACATACGACCACTGCGACATGCAGTCCGTCGAATCGTACGCTGTTGTTCGCTCAGACAGTTTGTCTAAGGTCAGTACGCCACAATTTGAAACATGTCCATTTTCTGGAAAATACGCTTTTGATACAGAATATGCATATATAGCGGTGGCAAACCCAGATTTTGGTCCAGTTAACGTTTCCTTCATTGCATATGACCAGTGTGGCCGTTTGTGTACGCCATATTGTCGACAGGCAGACGACAAGTTTGCGCGCTGTACCGGACTATTCCATCTGGACGGCACATACGACGGATATGGAGCTAATCCATCCGAAGTCATGTTTAAGCAACTGCACGAAAAGGACGGCTTGCCAGAGTTAAAGGACGACAACATCTTCCTTGTATTTGATTGTGACGCGTCCACAGAATATTTCTTTGAACATTTTCTCTAGTGTTCCTTCCAGATAACTAACTACAGCTTAATTTCCTTATCACTTTTGTGAAAAATCTTGAAAAATATTCTACAATTGCAAAGGTTCCGAATAAAATGCTGAATTGTCATAGCTGTCTTTAACTTCATCAAAACAATTTCTGAGTTCTTTTTCTTCCCAGTTTTATTAATACAATAAAAAAACTTGTAACATGAAATACATCATATTACTACAATACACACACAATGATACGATAAGATAACCATATAATATAACCATACAACCAGATCACTCTGACCGTAGTCAGTTACATTAGTTTGACATACTGAATATACATATTCATTACAACTGTAAAATCAATCGATGAATTATATAGAAATAACAGTTGGTATCCAATTATACTACATATATAAAAAAAATACCCACCTCTTCAGTGTGGAGAGGGTTTTCTCGGAATTAGGTCCACCGAGCCCTCAGACTGACTCGTTCAGTACACACATTGAAAACTATGCTTCTTCGGATTCACCTGTCTATTAAATCGACCACGCCCGATATTTGAATTAACACACTTCCAAAATATCAACTTTACTTTTTAAACAAAAATATGCCTTTAATCAAATACATTATTAAACAGATACTGTATTAGTATAATATTTTACACATAGTACTTACATTTACAATTCTAGACTCTAGTGCCGCTACCTCTCATGGTCGCTAGGCTGGCTGTTATCATACTTCGATGATTTGAAGCTCTGAGCGCTCTGTCCAAAAGTGACCAGTGCGCCGGGTAAAACTTCCCAATATTCAACACTTCATTACTATACATAGACAATACTTACTGGACAAACAAGTATACTACACATTACATTACATCTGCTCAGTATCTCACTCGCATTCTCACGTGCTGTTTCCGCGCGCGCGCTAAAAGTTTTGCCGCAATGCGACACGTCCAATATTCACGGTAGGCTGATGTTCGTTAGATACGAACGCATATAGCTAAACTACTACGAATTTGTTAAAAGCAATATTGCCAAATAATGACACTACTACATATCTTTGCCACGTGTATTGTTTATTCTTGACAATACAGCAAACAATTTTAGCATTTTCAGTCAACAACTCTTTCTAACAACGGTCTAATCACGTGTTTATGATGAACATTAAAGGGGTATACATACGAACGTTTGCTTCTAATTTACGTTTTAAAACAACTTTAACAACTTTGCGCAATATTTTATTTTTCCTGTATCCCGGGATTCATGAACTTTCCGCAATTACCAAAATTTATAAGTTACGCTATCAATAAGTTTAGTTTGATTTAAGAATAAACGCCGGGAAGCGATATATTCTGTAAAGTTGTGGGCGGAAAAGAAGCAACCACATCTCGAGCATGCGCATATCGCCCACGTGCTAAAAAAAGAAGAAAACAACGATTGAACACAACCACATATATAAGTATATATACAACATAAGAGGCGCAATGTCAACCACTTGCACGTAAACCCTCTTTTGTATACACATTGAGATAATGAAAGCACATGTGTCAATGTTTACTAACCTCACTCTCGCTGTCACGTTCAGCCATTTTCTTACGCAGGTGGCGCTGCAACTGCCGTGACTTTTACGCATGTCCCTCGTGCAAAATCCAGCGATCGGTTTTGATTGACAGTTCATCAGCAGATTTTTAAATCGCGTAAAAGAATGTGTTAGAGTTTCTTTGATTGTTTATTATATTAATGAATATTCTCTTTTAATAATTTTCTTATCGTAGTTTAATTCCAGGGGCGTAGCTTCCATAGAAAGAAAAAACCCGGGCTTACACATTAAAAAATCCGTGCATAGAGTATGTCGGACAAAATTACAAAACTAATTTTGAAAATAAATATCTAATATTTTTGTTAAATAAAAAAATATAAATAGAAAATTACTGAATAACTAGGCCTAGTGCATTGCTTTCCGGAACTTTATACACGTCATACTATTCTACTTCTTACTATCATTTCCACGTTTCCAATTATAATGGAAGAATGCTTCTCGATTACAGGCTTCGATCGACAAGTTTTTCAAACAAAATAAAGTCTTTTATTTAGTCAGGGGTTGAAGTTTGTTGTTAAATAAATAAAAAAAACTGTCTCAGAAAACGATTCAAAACATCTTTGAAATCATGAAATTCATTTTCCGTCGGGGGGCTTCGCCCCCTAATCCCCCCACCGGGACCCTGGCCTAGGCGGCCCCAGACCCCTCGCCCGGGCTTACACATTTCTGCTGGGCTAGCTACGCCCCTGAATTCATTACCCGTTTGAGAGACCTTTCAGTTGGAATGTATACCCCTTTAACAGTGGGGAATATTGACACCTTCCTACCTTCAGTGAGGAGAGTTCTCTTACTAACGCGGTAGTTTGAATCAAATCAGACTACTCACCATATCGCGACTCCGTCAATCGGCGAAATAGGTATCGGGTCCTGAGTGGTAAGCATACCTTGAAAAATCAGCTTGTAAATAATTATAAAGAAATTGAAATACTGGTCCTTATTGTGACCGAAACAGGTGATTTCGGACTCAGAGAAAAAAATAAATCAAATGAGAGATATGATGATTTTATGCAATATTTGTGTTACTAAACAAAACGTCAATGAATGCCGGCATTTAGTAAAAAACAGCCACACGAATCATCACTTCTCCCCCAATTTTTTCTCTAGATTTTATAGTATATATGTTAGAAACAAATATAAGCCAGATGAATCCTGAAACCGTTGCCGTCAGTCATGGGTAACCAACAACCACGATTGAATGTTTAATACCCACCATTTCTCAATACGATAGTTGACGAGTAATCGACGCTATCCCTTTTATCTGTACTGTTAGTACTGACATTCAAGTCACGCGGCGTCCCTCATAGTTTATCGGTGAACCCGATATAAAGTATACACAAGAGAGCTCTGACGTTGCCCATTTGTCATAGTTTTGCAAGAATAGGTTAAAGATTAGTGGCAAAAATGTAAAAAAGAAAAACAATTGACAAAAATAAGTAAAAAAAGTATGTGAGTATAGTAATATGAGCAAAACTAAAATGACAAAAACAAAATCAGTGAAATTATATGTAAAAAATGGGAGATAAATGTTAAAATAGACAAAAACATTTTTAAAAAATGGTAAAAAACTTCGTTATTAAGCATTCTGTCCTGGTTGTAGGTTATCCATGACTGACAGCAATGATTGTTATTATATGCTGTTATTGAAGTAAGATCTATGCAAACAGGAACCTGACGGTATAAGACTGGATTTTTCTGTAAGTTAATGGTTGGATGACTCTATTACAAGTTTATCGTTAGTCTGTAAGTAAATGTGTGGTCAATTGAAATAGTGAATAGAATGATTAATTATCATAGTGGATAAAACTGGCCGAAAAGTGAACGGAATGGTAAAAGGTTCAATATAGACATGCGACTGACTCAGATATCTACGAAATAGACAAGCTAAACGAATAACACGTACATGATAGACGTACGATGGAAATGAAACCTATCGAAAAGGTATGAAACATGTTTTTCGATGAATAGTATGAGTTATCTCCCTTAGACCGTCATGTGATTCTAATGAGCATTATAGGACGTCTGTATTATCACTGATCTTGTAAACCGGTTCGGATTCCAAACGATCTCCAAGCGTAAATATTCTGAGCTTACTATTTCGTTTTCTGATCCGTTAAGTCATTCGATGTACGATCGATGGAGCCCTTGTTGTCCAGATATTAGGTATTCCACTTCTGGTTCTGATCTCTATTGTTAGATGTATCGTACAGACGCTCTATTTGGTTACAAAACAGCTTGCTCTGCTACGTGTTCTGATCTCTTCCAAGATTGGTGATATTCTAGACATGTGCCCCCCGGTTTCCAAGCAATCACAAATATATTGTTAGGAGTACACTGTATATTGTTAGGGTTACACTGTATATTGTCAGAGGTGCACTGTATATTGTTAGGGGAACACTGTATATTGTTAGGAGTACACTGTATATTGTTAGGGGTACACTGTATATTGTTAGGGATACACTGTATATTGTTAGGGTTACACTGTATATTGTTAGAGGTACACTGTATATTGTTAGGGGTACACTGGTTACTTTGTAGAGGGGAACACTGTATATTGTTACGGGTACACTGTATATTGTTAGGGAGTACACTGTATATTGTACACTGTATATTGTTAGGGGTACACAGTATATTGTTATAGACTGTATATTGGGTACACTGTATATTGTTAGAGGATACACTGTATATTGTTAGGGTACACTGTATATTGTTAGGGGTACACTGTATATTGTTAGGGGTACACTGTATATTGTTAGGGATACACTGTATATTGTTAGGAGTACACTGTATATTGTCAGAGGTACACTGTATATTGTTAGGGTTACACTGTATATTGTTAGAGGTACACTGTATATTGTTAGGGATACACTGTATATTGTTAGGGTTACACTATATATTGTCAGAGGTACACTGTATATTGTTAGGGATACACTGTATATTGTTAGGGATACACTGTATATTGTTAGGGTTACACTATATATTGTCAGAGGTGCACTGTATATTGTTAGGGGTACACAGTATATTGTTGGGGTTACACTGTATATTGTCAGAGGTGCACTGTATATTGTTAGGGGTACACAGTATATTGTTAGTGTTATACTGTATATTGTTAGGGGAACACTGTATATTGTTGAGGGTACACTGTTTATTGTTAGGAGTACACAGTATATTGTTAGGGTTACACTGTATATTGTTAGGAGTACACAGTATATTGTTAGGGGTAGACTGTATATTGTTAGGAGTACACTATATATTGTTAGAAGTACACTGTATATTGTTACGGGTACACTGTATATTGTTAGAAGTACACTATATATTGTCAGAGGTACACTGTATATTGTTAGGGATACACTGTATATTGTTAGGAGTACACTGTATATTGTCAGAGGTGCACTGTATATTGTTAGGGGTACACAGTATATTGTTAGAGGTACAATGTATATTGTTAGGAGTACACTGTATATTGTCAGAGGTGCACTATATATTGTTAGGGTAACACTGTATATTGTTAGGAGTACACTGTATAATGTCAGAGGTACACTATATATTGTTAGGGTTACACTGTATATTGTAAGGGGTGCACTGTATATTGTTAGAAGTACACTGTATATTGTTAGAGGTACACTGTATATTGGTTGGGGCACACTGTATATTGTTAGAAGTACACTGTATATTGTTAGGGTAACACTGTATATTGTTAGAAGTACACTGTATATTGTTAGGGTTACTTTGTACATTGTTACGGGTACACTGTATATTGTTAGAGGTACACTGTATATCGTTAGGGTTACTTTGTACATTGTTACGGGTACACTGTATATTGTTAGAAGTACACTGTATATTGTTAGAAGTACACTGTATATTGTTAGAAGTACACTGTATATTGTTAGAAGTACACTGTATATTGTTAGGGGAACACTGTATATTGTAAGAGGTACACTGTATATTGTTAGGGTTACTTTGTACATTGTTACGGGTACACTGTATATTGTTAATTTCAATTCATTTTCTGCTGATATCAACTCGTCTCCTGTTGATTTCAACTCACCTTCTGCTTATCTCAACTCACCTCCTGCTAGTCTCAACCAACCTCCTGCTAGTCTCAACTAATCTCCTGGTAGTCTCAACCCACCTCCTGCTAGTCTCAACCCACCTCCTGCTAGTCTCAACCCACCTCCTACTAGTCTCAACCCACCTCCTGCTAGTCTCAACCCACCTCCTGCTAGTCTCAACCCACCTCCTACAATATATCCAGGTAGTGTTTCTCCATTTATCTATTTAGGATGTCTCATGGTTAACGCTGTATATGTTAGATGTATAAAAATGTTTTGGAGAAATCATTTATGATTTATGAACACCGATTCGGTACTCGTGTTTCTAGTTATTCAACAAATCACAGCTTCCCACACTACCGTTCTTAGCACTATCAAAACAGGAATACAGTCTTGTTGTGATACTTTTTGCTCAAGAAATAGAATTCATACAATTTGGATTTTAAAGAACTCCAAATATTCTGACTTCCAATATGCTCTTCTGAAAATTATTTCTTTTATAAGAATGTTGGAATTTTCTACTCTGCACACAACCATACCCCATTCTAAAGTGACAGAACACCATCGTTCTCTTGTGATGAGAGTTTTCTCATGAATAGTGCACAAGTATATGGTTGTAAGATCCTACAGCCAACTACTGGTATACATATGTGTGGAAAATGTGTCCTCTGTTGACTGACTTGTCTTTGCTTTCAGACGGAGCTGTATTTATTGAAGAGATTATCAGAACTGTTCACAAAGACTTGCAAAGTTCACAAAACTCGACGAAGTTGTTGTTAACTAGAAACACAATAATTTTTACTAATTCAGGTTTATATGATTAATATAGAGGAGACTCAAGGTGTTTGTATTGTGTATACTGTGTCCTGTGCGTACTGTGTGTACCGTGTGTTCTGTGTGTACTAGGTGTCCTGTGTCCACTGTGCGTCCTCTGTTTCCTTTGTCCTGTGTGTCCTCTGTTTCCTGTGTCCTGTGTGTACTGGGTCCTGTGTGTACTGTGGTGTAATGCGGTGAACTGTGTGTACTGTGTGTGCTGTGTGTCCTCTGTTTCCTGTGTGTCCTGTGTCCTGTTTTTACTGTGTCCTGTGTGTACTGTATCCTGTGTGTCCTGTGTGTACTGTGTCATGTGTGTCCTGTGTCATATTTGTTTTTTATAAGAAGACAATTTACATTAAACAAACTTACTTTTAATGAAATAACATCTTCCAACCAAAACCATACTTTTTACATTGAGTTAATAAGGTTTTCCAATATGGAAATTGAACAGAAAGCATTCCGGTGACGGGAAGAATTGTTCAGATTCTCCGTCTAAATTCTATCCCAGGGGTATAGGTCTGACGAGTCACACAGGAAGTTGACATGAACCGAAGAGTGTTCTGCTGAAGGACATTCTTCACTTCCGGTTTGAGGTCCGAAATTCCACATGTTGTAGATGAGATCAGCCACCGTCTTTCCATAGCAGGCCGGGGAAGAGTGATCGAATCGTAAACAGCCGGTACAAGGGATGTATTTTGGTGGACTCGAAGCTTTTACAAGACATGTAGGCATACAAGTTCTACCACACTCATCGTAAGCTATAAGTGATACCTCGGTAGGGTATTTAGCTGGACTTTTGATAGGAACGTATGCTGTACCAGTAGAAATTGGGTGTCGCTCGTCCACTAGAGCGTACTCCATAGAATAACCGTTATAATTCAGTCCGTCCGAGCGGACGAACACTTTCCCCGCTCCCCCGCTGTTGACTCGACAGAAATTACGGTAGGTACCCTGATGACCCACGTGCATTGCTGATTGTAAGTTTTTAGAGAAATAAGGATCAAATATATCATGGGATTCATCTATTGAATTGTTATGCATTTGGAAAGTATGGAAGTGTAGATTTAATGGTCTGAAAAATGTCACTTTGACAGCTATAAATACCCATTCGTCTACATCACTGCGTCCGCCGTTTATACTGAAGATATTCTGTATTGGTAAATTCGACCCGGGGCAATGAAACCCGCTACATACTTGATTATCAAACTGAACAGATGCACTTCTTTTCTTCCGTTTGTTTAAAGAAGACTCCCTCTTTTTCCTTGATTTTCCTTTATCGACAATACCGTTTTCGTTTCCAGAAACCGTTTTATTAATACCATCTACGATAGGTTTGCTTGCTTTGAAATATCTCAATTCTTCTTCGTTCAACTTCCTTGGAATGGGCGCTCCCCTTCCTGTTTTAGGATAACAGAGGCCCTTGATACATACTAGATGATCACAGCCACATTCCGTCTCGCACGTGCTAGGACTGTCCTCATATTCGTAAATTTCATCTGTCCAATAGTCCGAGTACCCGTCCGCGTTTGTGTAGTTTTCGAAGACAGACATAGTGACATCAGGCCGATGTAATCCACCCAGATAGTATTCCCCCGGGTCGGGGATATCGGTTGTCGGGTCGATGCCTAGGGATTTCAATCGTTGTCTGAACTTCTCGAATACGTAGTCTATGAAACAGTGTAGAAGGAAGAAGATTGGATCCATTGTTGCATTCTCGAGTGTGGCTAAATGACCGCCAACATAAGTGTGGATTCCGTTGTGGAGGTATTCCAGGTTGTACGGGGCGTTTGCGAAGGGAACTACAATGTCTTTAGTTCTGTTTCGAGTAAGAATATAAGCAACATCCAGTCGACTCGGTAGAGGTCCTCCAGACCCAATATTCCTCACGATATTCAACAGGGGACTGTTACCAAACCTTGATTTCTTCAGTTTCCCCTTTGCTTTTCCAAGAAAAGTTTTGGAAAAAAATTTCGATAATTGTGGTGATTCTAAGCCTTGCTCGAGGGTGCAATCCCAATACGGTAGGACAACTCCGGGCTGAACTGCATGCAGCGCATTCTCAAAACTGGCAAAAATATTGAAGAAAACAAAGTTACAACGATGAATAAACAAATAAACAACATGAAGAGAACACGTTTGTCAGGATACTTCTTATTTAGCTTACAACAGAGGTTACTCAACTGTGACAAGTCATTCATACACATGGTATGCATGTGCAGGGCCTCAGATGAGTGGAGAAACTTGGCAGATCACTATAGGCGGGTGTACATCGGGTAGTTCGAACTTAGAACTTCGATAGTGGGGGAGGTGGGGTACAAAAGTAACAATGAGATGATGACATGGTAACAATATGATGTTGACATTTTAGCAATGAGATGATGACATTGTAACAATGAGATGATGACATAGTAACAATGTGATGATGACATTGTAACAATGTGATGATGACATTGTAACAATGAGATGATGACATAGTAACAATGTGATGATGACATTGAAACAATGAGATGATGACATAGTAACAATGTGATGATGACATTGTAACAATGAGATGATGACATGGTAACAATGAGATGATGGCATTGTAACAATGAGATGATGACATAGTAACAATGAGATAATGACATTTTAACAATGAGATGATGGCATTGTAACAATGAGATGATGACATAGTAACAATGAGATAATGACATTGTAACAATGTGATGATGCCATAGTAACAATGAGATTATGACATAGTAACAATGTGTTGATGACATTGTAACAGGTAGATGATGACACAGTAACAATTTGATGATGACATTGTAACAATGAGATGATGACATAGTAACAATTTGATGATGACATTGTAACAGGTAGATGATGACACAGTAACAATTTGATGATGACATTGTAACAATGTGATGATGACATTGTAACAGTTAGATGATGACATAGTAACAATTAAATGATGACATTGTAACAATGTGTTGATGACATTGTAACAATGAGATGATGACATTGTAACAATGTGTTGATGACATTGTAACAATGAGATGATGACATTGTAACAATGTGTTGATGACATAGTAACAATGTGTTGATGACATTGTAACAATGAGATGATGACATTGTAACAATGTGTTGATGACATAGTAACAATGTGTTGATGACATAGTAACAATGTGTTGATGACATTGTAACAATGAGATGATGACATTGTAACAATGTGTTGATGACATTGTAACAATGAGATGATGACATTGTAACAATGAGATGATGACATTGTAACAATGTGTTGATGACATTGTAACAATGAGATGATGACATTGTAACAATGTGATGATGACATTGTAACAATGAGATGATGACATTGTAACAATGAGATGTTTATTGTTTTTGTGATGGATTAATGATATACAAAACAGATAATTGTTTCACACTGGGTTTATATAATCTGGATGACTTGTACAAAGTCCCAGACCATACTCGCACTTACGTATAAAGATAGATGCGATGCCAGGACAGGAAGTTAGGCCCGATGTGGGCTGTCCTGGCAATATCGCCGTTGTGTATTCCAGCTATGGCGTCGTAAATAGACACACTCGTGTTTGCTACCTGTAAACGTTAAACAAAACTCACGGTCAGAATGTTCATAACGATGATTGTACAAAAACACACAAGTAAATAGCACATATTAATACAGATTTAAATGAGATACAGTTGAGCCAAACAATGAATCAAACGGCATCATACAGCTGTTTCGTCCTTCTAGGATTCTTCAGTGATGCTACATCATACAGCTGTTTCGTCCTTCTAGGACTCGTCAGTGATGCTACATCATACAGCTGTTTCGTCCTTCTAGGACTCGTCAGTGATGCTACATCATACAGCGGTTTCGTCCTTCTAGGACTCGTCAGTGAGGCTAAAGGCACAAATTCTAAACCTAGGTCACGACGGAGGGAAATCCAAACTGATTGAAAAAAACAAATCTAAACTTAGAAGAGGGACTAGCACTAACCCCGTCATTAAGTTAGTTTCGTATTTTAATATCTCTGCTAATTAAAAAAAAAAAAAAAAAACACCGCGAGGTACATATATATATTCTGAACCGTGATATGGTCAGTTTTGGATCCAAATATTTGTTTGTTTCTGTTTCCTGTCATCGTTATTTGTAACTGTTCTGTAAAGAATTATCACACGTAATCACTTGTCCAGTAGGTCCCAATTTATTACAACAAATACTTGTACGATATTGGCAGGCTAGCAAGCTATGTTACCCGAATAAAGTGTGGTAGTTGTACAAGGATATCATTTTGTCATAATCGATAATCTCTACATATTGATCAGAACGGTAAAAAATTGATTTGTCAGTCTGGTATTTCACATCCTTATAGTTAAGTTCACAAGGAAGAATTTGTCCGGAAACAAATATGTGTATTTCATTTTTCAATTTGCCTATTCAAGTGTTTTCTAGATTACGGCATATCTCAAGTACAGAAAATGAAACTAAGTCAATAGTATATAAAGACATATGTTTGAAGCTCATTACTGTATGTGACATAGGCCTTTAATCTTTAATTGGATAGTTATATCGACATACGGTCAACTACTGGCACTTGAAAATATGTTAGAGTCTGAGGGAAGATGGACCTATCCTGGTCTATATCTCGGGAAACAGAGAATATGTCAGAGTTTGAGTGAATATAGACGTGGTCTATATCTCGGGAAACAGAGAATATGTCAGAGTTTGAGTGAATATAGACCTATCCTGGTCTATATCTCGGGAAACAGAGAATATGTCAGAGTTTGAGTGAATATAGACGTGGTCTATATCTCGTGAAACAGAGAATATGTCAGAGTTTAAATGAATATAGACCTATCCTGGTCTATATCTCGGGAAACAGAGAATATGTCAGAGTTTAAGTGAATATAGACCTATCCTGGTCTATATCTCGGGAAACAGAGAATATGTCAGAGTTTGAGTGAATATAGACGTGGTCTATATCTCGGGAAACAGAGAATATGTCAGAGTTTGAGTGAATATAGACCTATCCTGGTCTATATCTCGGGAAACAGAGAATATGTCAGAGTTTGAGTGAATATAGACGTGGTCTATATCTCGGGAAACAGAGAATATGTCAGAGTTTGAGTGAATATAGACCTGGTCTATATCTCGGGAAACAGAGAATATGTCAGAGTTTGAGTGAATATAGACCTGGTCTATATCTCGGGCAATAGAGAATATGTCAGAGTTTGAGTGAATATAGACCTGGTCTATATCTCGTGAAACAGAGAATATGTCAGAGTTTGAGTGAATATAGACCTGGCCTATATCTCGGGAAACAGAGAATATGTCAGAGTTTGAGTGAATATAGACCTGGTCTATATCTCGGGCAATAGAGAATATGTCAGAGTTTGAGTGAATATAGACCTGGTCTATATCTCGGGAAACAGAGAATATGTCAGAGTTTGAGTGAATATAGACGTGGTCTATATCTCGGGAAACAGAGAATATGTCAGAGTTTGAGTGAATATAGACCTGGTCTATATCTCGGGAAACAGAGAATATGTCAGAGTTTGAGTGAATATAGACGTGGTCTATATCTAGGGAAACAGAGAATATGTCAGAGTTTAAGTGAATATATACCTGGTCTATATCTCGGGAAACAGAGAATATGTCAGAGTTTAAGTGAATATAGACGTGGTCTATATCTCGGGAAACAGAGAATATGTCAGAGTTTAAGTGAATATAGACCTGGTCTATATCTCGGGAAACAGAGAATATGTCAGAGTTTAAGTGAATATAGACCTATCCTGGTCTATATCTCGTGAAACAGAGAATATGTCAGAGTTTAAGTGAATATAGACCTGGTCTATATCTCGGGAAACAGAGAATATGTCAGAGTTTGAGTGAATATAGACGTGGTCTATATCTCGGGAAACAGAGAATATGTCAGAGTTTAAGTGAATATAGACCTGGTCTATATCTCGGGAAACAGAGAATATGTCAGAGTTTAAGTGAATATAGACCTATCCTGGTCTATATCTCGGGAAACAGAGAATATGTCAGAGTTTAAGTGAATATAGACCTGGTCTATATCTCGGGAAACAGAGAATATGTCAGAGTTTAAATGAATATGGACCTATCCTGGTCTCTATAGAATGCCATTAAATATTTATAAGAGTTTGATTGAGATGTGTTAAAGATGCCATCTTGTGTTGTGTGTGAATTGTTACACGGAGAGGAGGTCAACTATTTGATAAAAGGCTGGTTAATAGTAATCATGATTTGTAACCAGCAGTGTAGCTTGTGTATTCTGCACACTTAACTTTTTTGTTTTGAGCAGTTTTAACGCTTTGAAGAATCTCTTTAATTCCCTTTTAGTAAGCATTCGAATCTCCTTCCTTTTTCGTTTCTGACGTGGTACCCCTCTCTTGTACCTCCCGTGGTGGTCGGACAAATCTCTGACGTAATGTAGAGTGCCCGGATGTATAGTGGGATGGCACGATTCCGAGTCTGTCCACCATCGAAATTTGTTAATACAAATGATGCTTGGTAGTTCGCCAGGATAGTCAGTCGTAGAAAATTTCTCGGAAATATCATCGTAACATTCTCTGAGCAAACGAGGATATGGAATAGATGTACATCCTCCGCTGACAACTGGGAGAATGCAGACGAAAATGGCGGCGACGACCTGTAAAGAAATACCATTTAATAGATAAATACGGATCTTGTAGATCACAAATAGCGTCAATTATTTCGAAGTTTTTCCGTTATTAAGATATAAGAACCCTGGCTGGGGATATCCCTTCTAGTGATTTTCAGAACCCGCCAATAAATATTTCATATTTCATGTGTGAAAATGGCGACACTTTCTTCCTTTATCACCAGAACCAGTAGTAATTAGGACTGTCGGAATAAAATGTCTCCGTTTAAAATGGAAATGAAAATAAAATTCTAAACTGCTTGATTTGAGCACGTTTCCGATACCATGATAGTGTGTTTACGTCATTGTTTGTGTGAACGAGTCGCATGCTTTACGTCATTGTTTGTGTGGACGAGTCGTGTGGTTTACGCCATTGTTTGTGTGAACGAGTCGCATGCTTTACGTCATTTTTTTGTGTGGACGAGTCGTGTGGTTTACGCCATTGTTTGTGTGAACGAGTCGCATGCTTTACGTCATTTTTTTGTGTGGACGAGCCGTGTGGTTCAGTCAGTGTAATCGTGAAACAGCAGTACCAACATAGAAATGAGAGGAAAGTATGAAAGGAAACAATCATTTGAAACTTTTAAAAAAAACTTGCAATGACACATGTTATTTCACTTTTCAGAACTTCGAGCAACTGCCTTTAATGTCAAGCTGCATAATGTGATATCAATTTGTATACAAGAAAAATCCTTTGAGCGCTGAAATGAAATGACAACGATGGTATATATCGTTCGATATATTTTTTTTTACAATAAAACATAACGATAGCTGATTTAAACGGTCAAGATGTTGGGATATTTACGTAAGCTCGTAATCGGATTAGATACATAGACTAAGGATTTACATATAATACCGAACCTAAGTTATATATTCTGTACGCATACCTTCGGAAAACTAAGAAACGAGTCACTATCCTATCGGGTAATGTATGCGTGTACTCTTTCCTTGTGGGAAATAGATGGGTTCGGTGTTAGTATGTGGTTTCGTTGTCAAAAACGTTGTCATCGTTTGCGAACGTGGCATTACCAAATATCATTATCAGACGTTCGCTTTTTAACACTTAATCTTATTTTTGTATTTTATTCAATCGTCTCTGTTGTTAATTTTGCACTCTTGACCTCGTTTGATAGTTTTTTTTTAAATGTTGTGACATAACGGCATTATTTTGTTTTTAAAGAACAATTTTCTTGTGTATTACATAATTAAGATATGTTATAAAGCGCTGGCGATGACGTTTGTAATAACAACAGCTGGGTTTACAATTATATAGGTGTCACTTCACAAGGCGTTTAGTAAAAGTAATGGGAAGGAGGTTTGTAGTTCGAAAAGATACTTTGAGTGATTAGGAAACAAACTGCGACATATGTCGTGTACACTGGGCATCTGGAACCGGAAACAAGAAACTAGGATCAGACTTTACAACATATTACAAATCAAACCATCAATAAATGCATTTGTCCTCAAACAACGCTTCCTTCATCGTCATTTGATAAAAATCGTTTCCAGTTATTTGTTGCTAATGCGAATTGAAGACGTACTGACCAGCCATCTGCTGCAGCTGTGGTCTTCTTAATACACACAAAGTGACATTTATAGGTAAGACTATTTGTTCTGTAAGAAGTACTCTCTAAATGTCTTCCTAGATCATGATATGATTGAGGTGATGGCTGTTCATGTATACACACTGCTCCAGTAAGAATTAGGTTAATGCCTGGTAACCTTTTATTAAAAGGAATGCGCTTTTGCACCAAGAACACCTTTATCAGAAAGCAATGTCCTGTGAGAGTGGTCAAAATGGCCGTGTATCTTTATAATGTTCCCAACATTACTTGACAGATATAATCATGTAATGAAATCAGCTTGTTATTTTTAAAGAATTATCAAATATTACAGTCCGTTTTTTTAGCATTATAAGCATAGCACTGTCAATATGTAGAGAGTCAATGTGGAATATCTCCCTACACTGGGTGTGACTTGGTGTGTCAGTGTGGGAGATCTACTTATACTAGATGTGACTTGGTTTGTCAGTGTGGGAGATCTACTTATACTAGATGTGACCTGGTGTGTCAGTGTGGGAGATCTACCTACACTAGATGTGACTTGGTTTGTCAGTGTGGGAGATCTACTTATACTAGATGTGACCTGGTGTGTCAGTGTGGGAGATCTACCTACACTAGATGTGACTTGGTTTGTCAGTGTGGGAGATCTACTTATACTAGATGTGACCTGGTGTGTCAGTCTGGGAGATCTACTTATACTGGATGTGACCTGGTGTGTCAGTGTGGGAGATCTACCTACACTAGATGTGACTTGGTTTGTCAGTGTGGGAGATCTACTTATACTATATGTGACTTGGTGTGTCAGTGTGGGAGATTTACCTTACTGGGTGTGACCTGGTGTGTCAGTGTGGGAGATCTACTTATACTAGATGTGATTTGGTGTGTCGGTGTGGGAGATCTACTTATACTAGATGTGACTTGGTGTGTCGGTGTGGGAGATCTACTTATACTAGATGTGACTTGGTGTGTCAGTGTGGGAGATTTACCTTACTGGGTGTGACCTGGTGTGTCAGTGTGGGAGATTTACCTTACTGGGTGTGACTTGGTGTGTCAGTGTGAGAGAATTACCTTCACTAGATGTGACTTGGTGTGTCAGTGTGGGAGAATTACCTCCATCGGGTGTGACTTGGTGTGTCAGTGTGGGAGGTCTACCTACACTGGGAGTGACTTGATTTGTCAGTGTGGGAGATCTACCTACACTAGATGTGACTTGGTTTGTCAGTGTGGGAGATCTACCTCACTGGATGTGACTTGGTGTGTCAGTGTGGGCGATCTACCTACACCGGGAGTGACTTGGTGTGTCAGTATGGGCGATCTACCTACACTGGGTGTGACCTGGTGTGTCAGTGTGGGAGATCTACCTCCAATGGGTGTGACATGGTGTGTCAGTGTGGGAGGTCTACCTACACTGGGAGTGACTTGGTGTGTCAGTGTGGGAGACCTACCTCCAATGGGTGTGACATGGTGTGTCAGTGTGGGAGGTCTACCTACACTGGGAGTGACTTGATTTGTCAGTATGGGAGATCTACCTACACTAGATGTGCTTTGGTTTGTCAGTGTGGGAGATCTACCTCACTGGATGTGACTTGGTGTGTCAGTGTGGGCGATCTACCTACACCGGGAGTGACTTGGTGTGTCAGTATGGGCGATCTACCTACACTGGGTGTGACCTGGTGTGTCAGTGTGGGAGATCTATCTATACTGGGAGTGACTTGGTGTGTCAGTGTGGGAGATCTACCTCCACTTGGTGTGACTTGGTGTGTCAGTGTGGGAAATCTACCTCCACTTGGTGTGACTTGATGTGTCAGTGTGGGGGATCTACCTACACTGGGAGTGACTTGGTGTGTCAGTGTGGGAGATCTACCTCCACTTGGTGTGACTTGGTGTGTCAGTGTGGGAGATCTACCTCCACTTGGTGTGACTTGGTGTGTCAGTGTGGGAAATCTACCTACACTGGGAGTGACTTGGTGTGTCAGTGTGGGAGATCTACCTCCACTTGGTGTGACTTGGTGTGTCAGTGTGGGAGATCTACCTCCACTTGGTGTGACTTGGTGTGTCAGTGTGGGAAATCTACCTCCACTTGGTGTGACTTGGTGTGTCAGTGTGGGGGATCTACCTACACTGGGAGTGACTTGGTGTGTCAGTGTGGGAGACCTACCTATACTTGTAGTGACTTGGTGTGTCAGTGTGGGAGATCTACCTCCACTTGGTGTGACTTGGTGTGTCAGTGTGGGAGATCTACCTACATTGGGAGTGACTTGGTGTGTCAATGTAGGAAATCTACCTCCACTTGGTGTGACTTGGTGTGTCAGTGGGGGAGATCTACCTTCACTGGGAGTGACTTGGTGTGTCAGTGTAGGAAATCTACCTCCACTTGGTGTGACTTGGTGTGTCAGTGTGGGAAATTTACCTCCACTTGGTGTGACTTGGTGTGTCAGTGTTGGAGATCTACCTCCACTTGATGTGACTTGGTGTGATAACGTCGGAAATCTCCCTCCACTAGGTGTGTCAATATCTCCCTCCACTAGGTGTGTCAATATCTCTAAGAAACGATTATTTTTCCAATGTTTGTCTAACATGACTTCAAATTCGAATATAGTTTTTTGCATTAACAGCATCTGGAAGTAAAGAATTCCATAAATCTACTACTCTCTGACTAAAAGAGTGGTTTCTAACGTCTAACTTACATCGTTTTTTTTTAAATCTTCTGGTGAACAACCAGATGTGCTTATTTCGGCGATATCCGGCGATTCCTTAATCTGCCTGGATTAAAGATTTACACGCAGGCGTAGAAGTTGCTAATATTGAAACTAATATACAAGGATTTACAAGGATATTAACTTAACTGGTGATATCTTCAAAAAACAGCTCTCGTTCACCGGAGCTATGAATGATAGCGACCGTCGCCATTGACACCGGAAGTAATAACTTATATCCACTAATTCAGTGTTTGTTATTACTTTTCATTTTGTCTACCAAACCAACCATATCTAAAGGGACTATTCAGTCAACCAACGTTTTTTTTTCAAAACTCAAGTAGAATCCGAAATATATCGTGCATAGAATTTATTTGTTTCGTAGTCACTGTCCGGCGTGGTCAGTCTAAATTTTGGTTGTTGTTGTTGGAAGTTTTTCGTCTCCGTGACTCCGCCCGTCGCCGGGCGGAGTCCAATCGACGTACGTCGATTCTCTGGCGACGCCCTCTGGCGGGAACAAAGTTGCTCAAATCCAAGCGCTGGAGGAACGGTGTGATGACATGGTCATAGTCATCTTTCTCGGGGTAATGATTTACCTAAATACGTTGCATGTAATACGTTTTTTCTTTCGTATTCTTTTTCAACAATGATTCTAGGATCTTTCCGAATCCATTTACTGTCTCCGTTTGATGTGAGACACTTTAACTGTTTTACTCGCTCCTGCTTCGAGGTGTAAGTCGTTTTCGTTGACATTCTCGAGACGGGTTTTGTACACTGGCGTAGGCAAGGGGTTGTCCCAGAGGTGACTTTTGTGAAACGTGTAAATCCGTTATTTTCCGTCAAAATACGCTCAAAATGCAGGAAATGGAGCCAAAATGTTCAAAATTTTCTGGGGTAGAGCCCCCAGACCCCTCGCCAAAGCTTCGCGCCTTCGGCGCTCGCGACGCACTTCTTCGCCGGCGTTGCCAGATTTTTGCCCCCTCCAATTTTAGATCCTGGCTACACCACAGGTTTTGTACATGCTCGTGAGGTCACAGTGCCTTTGTAATTACTTACAAAATATTGGTTGTACTTTCAAAAATTCTTTACGATTAATTAAAAAAAACTTATAGAAAGTATAATATTGTGCAAATATGTGGACATGCATTGTTCATAATGACTACAGAAATACAATGCAATGAAAGATTTTTTGACATGAAACATATTTATAAAAAATGACTATATTGTCCCTTTAAAACCTGTCAACAACCCCTGTTCTTATGTCCTCTTTCCACTCGTGTTTGCTATCTGGTTTTATAGACCATGCAGTTGTTTTAGACGATAAGCCTGCGAGAGAGCGTTAAACACAACCAGATACCATTGAATTGGTATTGTAGCTTGAAGTTGTCGAAGTTTGTCAAGTCAACACTTACTGGAAAAAGCATGCGGAACAACTACATCAGGAAAAATTCTCACTTTCATACCTACAACATGTCACCATTCGTATAACATCAGAACACAACGTCTTTGGCTCCGTAAACATGGATACCTCTGTAGTCAGAAAACCTACTATTATGATAAACTCCTCGCGGGACAACACACAATTCAGAGCACTAGAGCAAAGGGCGTCTGAAATAGCAAACCGTCATATCTCATGTGTCAGACCAATCGAGAGGATGTCCAGTACTTCATCCTGCAGTGTCCATCATTGAAATATGAACAGAATCGCTCTATCCCGTCCATGCAACAAGTGGTTTTTTGTTTTTTTTTGTTTTTACACTTTTCAGAGATGCCGGAATTTTCCTACAATATGTTATAGACATAACGAATCCTCGTCTACTGCTGTTTATACGATATCGAGACTGTATAGACAAAAAACAGGTTTATCATCTGGTATATAAGTCCATTTGTATGTTTCCTACTTGAATAACACAGCTTCAAATCACCACGATCACGGAATGCCTGTGGTCATAGAACTGCCTAAAGCCTAAAAAACTGGTTCTCCTATAACAGGGACTTTACGATTACTACTACACATGTAAACTTTGTAGAATTATGGAGCTAATTCACCTCACCATCTAGACGTTGACATTTCGTTTTGATCAATTCTTATTTTCCTCCGTCGACTATTGTGCTTCAAAACTTTAGGAGGCGACCGAGGAACCCAAAATTGTTAAAAAGAACTGTCAAAATTTAGATGATGTCACAAGCCTACGGAGCCCGTTAACTGACATGCTCCATACTTATTTTATTTCGTTTTTTCGTAATAATAATTCGTTTTTTCGAAATTATTATTTCGAAAAAACGTCGAAAAAACGAAATAAAATATTATTTCGATAAAACGAAATAATATTTCGAAAAAACGAAATATTTCGAAAAAACCGAAATAAGATATTATTTCGATAAAACGAATTATTATTTCGCAAAAACGAAATAATATTTCGAAAAAACGAATTAATATTTCGAAAAAACGAAATAAAATAAGTATGGAGCATGTCAGTTAACGGGCTCCGTACAAGCCCCATAATTCAATGAAATTTTCTTAATTTTCATGCAGATTGAAGTAGCATGTTTAAAAAAGAGCCATGAAAAAAATATTTTGGATTAAAAACAATCCGTAAGCTTTTGTTTAGTATTTATGTCAATCTTTATAAAAATGGATGTATTCGAGACATCGAATTGTTACATATATGATGTTGTTGATAGATACTAGTAGAAAAAAAAAATTTTTTTGCGGAAAAATTCCATTCGTAATCTGAAATGTTGAAGCTTAACCTGTTAAACAAAACTACCCTTCAAACACAGGGAAACAAATACATATCATACATTCAGATATCATGGCACTGTTTTGATCAAAGCCATTGGGGATCATTGGGAGAAACATCCTGTTTCTCACTTCATATGTGACTTGTTTACAATCACACTTTTCATATTTGAAAATCTGATGACAATGTGATATTCTCAACATGTTATGCTGAAACCATAGAATGAGGTGTGGCTAATCTTTTATTTGTTTTTAACCATGTGATGATTGGCAATGAAATGAGGTCAAGAGTAGAAACCAGAAGTAAGAATTGAAGAAAGTAAGGAAAAAATCCGAGAGAAATTTGAACGCCTTTTTACCTTCGGACCTGAAATGCAATTCCTTTTAAGCATATTGATGTAGTCTGAGAGGCGCGACAAAACAAAACTCTTGATATTGTGCTGAAATAAAAGCGGGACGGACGGACGGACTAGAAGGCCTATCTGATTGCCTTCAGATCTCCAAGCAGACGGACGCATTTACTGAAGGTTTTCGATGCGAGCAAATAGAGGGCATTTTGTTCTCAATACTTTTCGATTTTGATGAATTAAATTTGCTGTGCTTCATGTTTAAATCATAGGTCCTATAAGGAAGTGTCTATTTCGGATGATGATAAAATTACTGGTATGTTATACAACATTACCTTGTCTGGACTTTCGGAAAGCGGCTGGAATTGTTTTCTGGGAAAGTTTTGGCTAGATAGCAACTTAATTGAATCTTACAGCATCCTTGTTGTAAGCTAATGGTAGATCACCATATACTGTATGGTTAATGTAGACGGGTAATACAACAAAGACTTTGATATATATTCCTAGCAGAGGGGCATTATCAGTGTATATAATACAGATATATTATTTTGTAAGAATGAAAAAAAAAGAAAATAAATAAATAATAATAAAATAATAATAATAATAATAATAATAATAAAAAATAAAAAATAAAAAAAAAAAATAATAATAATAAAAAAATAAAAAAAATAAATAATAAAAAAATAAATAATAATAAAAAAAAATAAACAAGATTATTTCATTTTGAATTAAAAGAAAAACGGCAATATTGGAGAGCAGTAATATATGAAATAACTTAATATAAAACAAATAAATCAATCAATCAATAAAGAAGAGAAATAATGAATTAGGATTAGTTTTAGCTAATGATTATTTTCTATTTAAAGAAGGGACATAATTCATATATTTGAAAGTTAACTTTGTGTGAAACTCTTTGAACTTCACTTAATCTTGACACCAAGCTCTCAATCACAGGAAATGGTGAAGTTCGATATTTTGTTTTGTTAACATAATGTAAACGTCATATTCTACTTCTTTTTTCTATTGTTGAATTTGCTCGAAACAATTATGAAAACAATGCGTTATTTTTCACAGATAGAAAATGATAATTTTCAAACTACATCTGCGGCAGTGCTGAAGTTCCCCAAAATAGACATATTTTCGGCACTTGGGTATTTAAATATATTTGTCTTTTTTGGAAAAATTTGGGGTTTTTCATCATTAACAATTTATCAATAGGAAAATAAGATATCCTTTTGAAAATAGCAGTATCAAAAACACTCTCTTAATTATAATGTTGCTAGATTTCGAAAATTCAATTCTAACAAAGTGTTATCTAGAAAATGACAGGATGAAACAGAGACGTGAGAAAGGCTTACCTCGTTCAGCGTCCGTACCATGTTTTAAAATGGGTGTTGGTAATGTTTCACTTCTGTTTTCAATACGACATCAACGAGATGCAAATTAAGTGAACAAATATGCGTAACATGTGCAAACGATAACATTACATTTCACAGAATATCTTTTCACGGATGAATGAATAACATGCTCGTAGAAAGATTAATATAGGGTGGAGAGCTTCCACGTGTTTTATGGGTTGCCTACACAACTACTTACCTTTGTCTACCTGGTCGATGATTACACAGTTTATATACAGTAAATCTACCTCGAGTAATTCATAATAATCTGATAAAACCACTAAATACATATACATCAAAGGACAAAATAAAATCTGTAACATACAGATATTGCAGACCACAAACTCGTTTAAATATTCACTAAAAAATCACAATATGGAAACTTCTACATTTGTTTCTAACGCAATGTTTATGCAACGTTTGATTAATTTTGCGAATTTCACGAGTTATAAATATGACCAACCTGTCCATTTTAATTTCCTAAAAGGCGCTGTTATGGTTTCGTACTTTTCAAAGGGGAGATGTTTTGTTGCATGTTAAATTAGATATATAATTTCTTTTTTTAGATGAAAGCGCATTAAATTTTTGCGAGTTATTTGTTGGTTTAAACAATATTTTATTTTCAGATTTTCATTTACAACATACACATACACAAATTATAAAGTTGAAAATGGATCTGGCAACAAGATTATAAATCTTATATCAAGCCATCTCCATTATTATTTGTTCAAAGCATTATAAAAAATATTCGACTAATAGAATTCACATTATTTTTTTTTCAGATTATATATTTACAACACATCTCATTCGTATACCTTCATCAGATGATTTTACAGCCATAGAGTTAGTTTATTGTGCATATGGGTTCGAATACCCGAAAATGAAGCAAACAAGTAGCAAAAACCGAGTAATTTTGCATTAAAGGTTGATAAATACAGGCATTGTATTGGTTTACTTATTTTCTAGGAAATCAAATATTTAAAAATGGAATAACCAATCTTATGATGTTATTACACCAATTCAGTGTTCAGCAGTTGTTGCCAAATATAAAAAACAGGTTTTACTGTAATAACAGCTGCAGTGTGAGAGTGACGTCGGCATACTTCACCTATTAAGACGAATTAGTTTTTAGTTTACAAAACATGAACTGGCTAAACATGGTGGAGAATTCAGATGACAGGGAAACTTGGGAAATAAAAATTAGCCATCTGCACTAATTAACGAACCGAATAGATATTATTTTAATTAGTATATCATAACGATATGTAACGCAGCCTTCACAGTAGGTAAGGATGTGTCAAATATATCCACAGCTTCTTCTAATTGTCCATATACCTACGTCACCATAATTTCATTGTCCATATATCTACGTCACCATCTCATTGTCCATATACCTACGTCACCATCTCATTGTCCATATACCTACGTCACCATTTCATTGTCCATATATCTACGTCACCATCTCATTGTCTATATACCTACGTCACCATCTCATTGTCCATATACTTACGTCACCATCTCATTGTCTATATAACTACGTCACTGTCTCATTGTCCATATACCTACATCACTATCTCATTGTCCATATTCCTACGTCATCATCTCATTGTCCATATACCTACGTCACCATATCATTTTCTATATATCTACGTCACCATCTCATTTTCTATATATCTACGTCACCATCTCTTTGTCCATATATCTTAGTCAACATCTCATTGTCCATATATCTACGTTACCATCTCATTGTCCATATACCTACGTCACTACCTCATTGTCCATATACCTATGTAACTATCTCATTGTCCATATACCTACGTCATCATCTCATTTTCTATATATCTACGTCGCCATCTCATTTTCTATATATCTACGTTACCATCTCATTGTCCATATACCTACGTCACTATCTCATTGTCCATATACCTATGTAACTATATCATTGTCCATATACCTACGTCATTATCTCATTTCCTATATATCTACGTCACTATCTCATTTTCTATATACCTACGTCACCATCTCATTGTCCATATATCTACGTCACCATCTCATTGTCCATATACCTACGTCACCATCTCACTGTCCATATACCTACGTCACTATCTCATTGTCCATATACCTATGTAACTATATCATTGTCCATATACCTACGTCATTATCTCATTTCCTATATATCTACGTCACCATCTCATTTTCTATGTACCTACGTCACCATCTCATTGTCCATATATCTACGTCACCATCTCATTGTCCATATACCTACGTCACCTGCTCATTCAGTCCATGTCCCTTCATGACACTATCTCATCAGTTTATCTACTCACAATGTACAACGCACATAAGCTCGATGTTCGATTGAGGATATTAGAGAGACCCTGATCTACTTTAGTCAAGCGACTGCGTGATCGAGATTTTCTGCACAGCTATGGTTTTAAAGTTTATTTACACTTCTGGATGTAAGGAATGTCTACAAAAGTAGTCATATAATGTTAAATGGTAGTACATATAGGAAGGGAGACAACTCTTTATGTCATCATAGTGTCTATTCCAGCAACGCTTAAGCGCCATAGCGACACCCAAGAGTTTCACTCTAATAGCAAACATGTTAATACCCGAAACGATAACAGCATCGAAATGTGTTTATTTATAGAAATCTAACAAATGCAAAGTTACTGTTAGAAGATTTGAAATGTTTTTCTTGTTTGAACAAATCAGTATAACAGTTAAACTCAACAGAACGATTCTCGTACTTGTGAATAGAACATAAACATATATCTATAACATATAGAAGGTTTAGCATGTTGATTATTTTATTGGTCTAGTACTTACTTAAAAAAATCTGAATCTTTCAACTTTTATAATTTAGTTGATACCCATACAATGCGACACACAGTAATTTAAGTTAAAGAACAAAATAACAAAATCCCGATTTTGATTTGGTTTGACGATTCACAAAGTTCTGGTCAAATTATAAGGACTAATGTTGTGATAAAAAGATAAGATGATAAAATAAAGATATGTGCATTGCTATAGACAAAAGGATCCAGAAATCACCTTTCTGACTTCTCAGTTGCTCAGTGCACGTAAGTAATGCCACGTTCTCAAATGAGATGAAGTTACACAACAACGGGACCAACATGCAAGAAAATGAACATAAATCACGGCCAGCTTCATATCGCACAAACAAATAGATTATTTCGCAATGCGATCACGACAATGGCCATAAAGCCAGCCCATCACCATTCATTCCCTTTCATCATCTCATTGTCGGTGTGAATCTGGGTTGCCTTACACGTCATCTAGTGTACTCCTCGTACACATATGTGAAAGTGTGGCCGTTGTAAATATCATTATGACGTGCTTAAAATTTCAACTTTAGGCTCCACGTAATCAGGACGGTAAAACTGAGCATATCGGACAAGTAATCAATATTTTTCACCTTCACAATAAACCACCTGTCATCAATATATTTACTCGGAGTTAAGACGTCAATTTTCCGCTCTAAAAATTTGATTAAAGGTCAAAACTAAATATGAAAATGTATTTTTAATGTAACGTAACAAGTTTTGTTCTACTTGGTTATTACCCATGATCCATATTTGTATTTAGCAGAGGGTATGTTCCTGTGTCTCCAAATAGACGAGAAACATATAAATGTGTATGAAGATCTTATGAAGTCTTTGTTGTAAAGTATTTTCTATTTTGTTTCTATGAAAAAGCAATCTTCATACTGACAAATACGTTTCATAGTTTACTGTAAAAACAATTTCTCCATGTGCTTAATGTTCAGTGAAATCAGTAATCCTCTTTTCTTCGGTAAAGTGCAGAATACATGTATGTATTAAGGTAAACCACATGCACCATTAAAACGACATGGAAATAGCCACATGTCAATATAATCATAATCCAAACCCAAATTCAATAAAACTAGGGCAAAATTTCAACAAAAGAAAGATTTAGACAGAGACTCCTGAAAAAGTACAATTAGAAGAAGGCCAGGTGTTCCGGAAGAGTAAGCGTCTTATCCTTCATTATCAACGGAACCAACAGGCAAACTGACGAACATCAAACAGATCCAGCTTCATATAGCACAAAGAAATAGAATGTTTCTCTGTGACATTTCTCTGTAAAGACCATAAACTTTCCCCATAATTTTCAAATTTTTAACTTTCATCTTTTGAAACCCTGCGTTACGATTGTCCGCCTTATGGTGTCTTCTTGCATGAAAATCGTGAAAATGGAAACAGGCCCTAGAATACAGAATCAGCTGTGACATGTAAACACCACAGATTGGGGATGCAGGGATTTTTGCTATTCAGAAATTGGAAAAAACACAATACGAAAATGGAAATCATTCCCATATCATAAAGTTCGGTGGAAAGATCGCGATAAGCAGAATCTGTCGTCTATTGATTTCCAATTCTAGTGAATATATACGATGGACATAGTCAATAAATTTCTTTTTATTTAAAGACAAGACGTCATAAATATATATGTAAGTGAAATTAAACGACTTTGCAAAATCTTTGTGCCCTGTTTAGATAATAATAAAAAAATAAATAAATTCAGCCTCGTATGAAAAGAAAATTAGTCAGCCAGCAGAGGGGCATATTTGATTCCCATAGGTATGCCAATAGTCTGTTGGAAGATGTCGGTACAGGTTGTTGATAGCTCTGTTGTTATATCGAAAAATGTGAACCTTCCAGTCTTTGCAATATAGGCCATTTCAAAGAGTTTGGAAGTACTTCAATTTTGATTATCATATCTTATTGTTCTAAGCCAGGACGTTATATATTATATGTCACTACTGGAAAGATATCATCAACTGGAGTCAGCCGTGTCGGGAGGTACTGGAGCTTAATATCAGGTGTTACAGCGTGTGGTCCTTTACATAAGTGATTTACAAGCCGCAGTATTGTTTATTAATACATTATTAATATAAACGTGAAATGTTAACAATTTCAATATATCATCAAACCATATGTTTAAAAAGTATATAAAAGATTGGTTTGATACTTTTGCCAAAAGTATTGGTCTCATTCAAAATCAATAAAGGTCATTTTCTTTAAGTCATTAAATCAAGTTATTTTTAGCTTTCCAAGGACATGCATGGTTTTTACAAGTCTGTAAGCAGAATCAAAATTTTAATTTGCTTTAATGAACCATTTTAACGAGACACATTGTTGGTTGGCATCCTTCAGTCGTCTTTTTCTACTATGGATTAGCGCTCTGATTGGTTGATGAGAAACATCTACGTCGGTAGCTGTAGAGACCGAATCTTGATCCACATGCTCTGCTGCAGTCCTGGCATGTTCCCAAATGAGACCACAGTAATTAACCAGGAGATATACTAACCAGCAACAGGTCTTAGAAACGTATGAAATGAAGTTATACTTGTAACATTTGGTATTAATATGACAATTGTCTTTTCGGGATGCTTCTTCATGGTATAAAAGTTGGAAAACATTATTTTAATAAATTGGTTTTCATTTCATGACTTTATGCCTACCATCTATTCTAAAAGAAAACTTTGTGTGTTTGGTCCAATGATTTCTCTGGAACCTATGTTCCTGTGTTCCGTTTCTTAAATGTATGATGAAAATTACTTTGGACGGACAATCAATGTTATTAACATTTAACTATTATTTCGCATGATTGTTTTAGAAATCTTTTAATCCAAAGTTTAGCTGAATATTCATGAGTTCATAAGGTGCATTCGGCAAAAACTAATTATATTAAGCAAAGTCTTTTGAAGTTCTTTTTTCTTTTACTGAAATAATCCTATCAAAGTGGTGGTAAAAATTTCAATTTGGAATTTTTTGTTTCTTTTTATGTTAATACAGGGACCGTCGACCACATGTATGTAATGGAATGTATGGTTTTTACATACTGCATCCTGTCCGTCATTGGAGGATGATGATCTTCATTCGTCAATAATACAGCACAATCTGGCGCTTAAATATACCCACTATATGTATGTGTTGAATTTATATCATTTTTCGATTTTCATCACTTTCATAGCTTAATCCACTATATTGACTTTGTGAAAAAGTCTTTACTGTTTGGGAAGTTAAGCTGGGATAAAAAGCAAGGATAAATGTCAGTGGACAATAAAAACTGTAACAGATTTAAAAACTGAATAGGTCTTGTATCTTTTTGTCTACATGCCAGATGTGAACTTGAATTCATACACCTGGTTTACTTTTCTAATTTCCAGCCAATCAGATGGTCCACAGTTGTGATGAGTTGTTCATATAAGCATAAATTGAGGAAATGATATTTAGAATTTTGCAGTTAAATGTTCTACGTCGACCAAGTACAGATGCAAGAATAAGGTGTAAGCAGAATAAAACGCGAGTCATTGGTTGAGTATGAAGGTAAGCATATGTTTTTATTACATTGTTAAATATAGAGGTTTTTCATTTCAAAATTCAATTATAACTATAGCTAAGATAGAATTTTATGATAATTTCCACATACCTTTCTCGCATTCTCAAGTTTGCCAAACATTTGTAATGTATAAATTCTTTATATTGCAAAATGCTAATTTCATGCTCAATTGAAATTGTATTCAGAAATTTGATACCAGTTTTGAAAAAAAAACACATTACATGTGGCTTCTAGTAGGTAAGTCTCAGTTTGAAAAATACGATTTTATCTGTTGACGAAATATCAAATATTAGGATGAAAATAGCCAAGCTGATTTATTTTTCATTTGAAAATTATTCATATAGGTTTTTTTCACATAACTGTGTTAAAAATATACTTGTTCGTGTGTACATGTCGGTATTTAGTTAATGTACCTATCGCAGAATCGACTTTATCTGTTTATCTCGACTATAAATTATAAATCAATTACTCCTTGACTCTAATCTTCGGAGTTTCTCTAGCTTGGTTAACATGTTTTTGCTATACCGTATTGGAATGTTCTGAATGTAACAGCTGTTGTATAGTGACAGAAAACATCAAGTGATTAGCAGAGATGAAGGTCCGTACACGATTTATGGTCACCATCATAGAGTAACCTTATGTGAACTTTTTATCCGTATTTTGATGAATTGTTATGGTGTGTGCTCCAGAAATGGGAAATAAGAAAATAATACCATTAACTGTAACATTCCATTCCAAACAAAATATTTGCTTTGTTGATAACAGGAATTTTATATATACGCTGTATTCCTTTATTATATATCCTTAATTTACACTCAATATAGTGTAATTAGTGAAAAAAACATAAATTGTGTGAAATTGAGGCTTATTGTGAACGAAAGAAAAAGTTATAAGCAGACTCCTGATAAAGTATAATAGAATAAGATGGATGAGAGACTTCCTTCGACGATGAATTCCGCCATGTAAACGTCGGTTGATCCAGGTAATGTCATGTTCTAAAGTAAGAACAAGGTAAACAATAACAGAATCACAAGGAATACGAACGAACACAACATCGTGTTCAACATCATATCGCACTATGGTACTGAATATTCCCCCAATGAAATTATTATGACAATCGTAAATCTTTCCCATAATCTTCATTAATCTCCATCCCTCGAGTTTATCTTGTTCTGAGTTTTCCTGTCTGTTGTCTACATCTTGCACAAAAATTGTGATATTGGGGAGAAAGTTTTGAATCTCAAATATGAAATGCAATACACAGAAGCGCACTTTTTAACGCAAAATAACTATTGGTACATTTAAAACAAAATAACAAATTTAACTTCATATAGCTGTTTCGTCATTCAAGGACGCGTCAGTGACGTGAAGGGCCTAAACCAACATGTGAAAATCATAGATTAAAGAAGCAGGGAGTTTGCTATCCAGGTATGGGAAATTCACAATAGAAAACTCGAAACCCATTGCCTTTGGCGGAAAGCTGTTGGTTTCTTTGCAGGAAATGACAGTAGTACTACGCATGCAAGTAAGAATCTTTGAAAAAGGTTTGGTTGAATGACCTGGCAATAAAACGCTCTGGTTCTTTTGAAATTTAGGAATCCAATATAACTGAGGGAGGTCCTTATCCTAATTTAATGAAATAAGTTCTCAATGCAAACATATGGTTAGATTTTCCTTGTGAAGTCCATTGTACTACACTAAACATGTAACTCTCGTGAGAATGGAATTGTTAACAGTTAAAAACATGCGAACGAAAAACATCTCGTCTAGTTGTTCAAGCAAAATAATTTTGAAATCGTCTTTCAACCATTCTTAGTACTATATACTATAAAATCAGGGCTACAGTTCGATTGTAAAACTGTTTGCTCTAGAAGAGGAATGAATGATACATGGATTTTAAAGAACTCCAAAAAGCTTTTGATTAAATTTTCAACATCTTTGAAGAAAAGAAAAGAAAACCTTCTATAAGAGCATTTGATCTTTTCTGTCTACATCCCATTATAAACTAATGAAACGCCCTTGTTCTCTTTCTATTGGAACTTTTAATTTTACAAGACAGATGACCGTCGGTACAAATATAAGGTTGTGTACTATGTTGAGTAATTCGCGGAGGACGAAATCATGTATATTGATGGAGTTTCTTGTTAACAATAATTCATCTTCCGATAGACTATTTGCGTATATATGGGCACTAACTGTGACTCTCTGTTCATACAAGGCTAAATTTATCAAAAAAGACAATTAAACAATAAACAATTAACCTAGATTTATCGTAAATTCCAATTAGAATTGGAAATCAAGGACAAAACAGACTTTTCTACGTCAGCCTCGATCGTTTCCTATAACAAAACCAATATAGACACCTTTCCATCAACATATATGATAAACGTGATAATTTTGCTTTCCCTTGTGTGAATTTTGTCATTTCTGGATAGCAACCTTCCAGCATTCCAATCCCATCACAAAACATGTTTTCGAAAATGCAGGACGTGTTTGATGTCCATTAGTAGACCTGTTTGTTCCATGTTTGTTTACATTGCTCTCGCTTCGGAAAGGAACACTACACATTAGCATTGACCATAATTTACATGGTGGGTGTAGTCGATGAAGCAGGAGACGCTTACCATTCAGGAACACTTTATCTTGTTCTCCTGCTATTTTTATGTTTCTTTCTCTTGTTTTAGTTTAATCGAATTTGTATGGTATGTTCTTTGTTGTATCAAGATAACAAGTAACAACTCAATATATTTCAATATAATTCAATTTCATAAACTTTTTTGGGTCTGTGCACCTTCCGATCTGAGCACGATCCCATACGGTATTTTATATACACTTCGATCTATATTGATTTTCTCAGTTGGCTTAGCGGCTTTGACAATTTAGGTCCTTAGCATCAGCAACGAAGACAGAAGCATAAACAGTCACCATTTTCTGATATTTTTGCATATAACAGATTATTTTACTGCTGCTGGTGCTACCTGTGATAGCAGCTGACTTCACAGCAATTGACTATCCACCAAAAGTCAAGGAATGCTTGATGTCGGAGAGTAACATGAACGCCTCGGTATGTACCGGGGAAAGTATCGCAAGTACATGTATATCTACATTTGCCTGGCACAACAAGGCGAAGATACATCCATATGTCCCTACTAAAGCAGAAGAGGATTTTATTCTTAAAATGTCTGTCAATCCAATGCACGAACGAGTTCGACGTGACAAAAGGTTCAAGAAAAGAGGCAGACGAAGGAAGCGAAAGGAATACAGGCTGTTATCAAAAAGGGCTCGAGATAGATTCCATATGTGCTTGAATCTCTTGAAAAACACCACGGTAAGGAGTTCCAATGTTTATCTTCTTTACCATTAGATTTGACAGATTAATAAAATGTTGTGGAATGTAGACAGATTAATAAAATGTTGTGGAATGTAGATGTCAGTGAATCATTTGTAATTTATTTTGTCCAATGTGGATAAGTTATAAGGAGATAACTATTTAATCCGGTTAATCATGATAATGTATTATATAGAGAGGGAGAGGTGACACGAGTGGTTGCTGTGTATGGTATTTTCAAAAGTTTAAAAAAAAATTAAAAAAAAAATCTTAATCCCAATCATAGTGATCAGAAGTGTATCTTTATCAGATATACGATAACACCGTTATAAGGTTCAGTGTCTTCTAAGTGTCTTCTCAATGCAACCTGTCTTCTAGGTGTCTTCTCACTGTATCCTGTCTTCCTGTCTTCTAAGTGTATCCTGTCTTCTAAGTGTCTTCTCAGTGTAACCTATCTTCTAAGTGTCTTATCAATGTAACCTGTCTTCTAAGTGTCTTCTCACTGTTTTCTGTCTTCTAAGTGTCTTCTCAGTGTAACCTGTCTTCTAAGTTCTTATCATTGTAACCTGTCTTCTAAGTGTCTTCTCAATGCAACCTGTCTTCTAAGTGTCTTCTCAATGCAACCTGTCTTCTAGGTGTCTTCTCACTGTATCCTGTCTTCTAAGTATAACCTGCTTTCTAAGTGTCTTATCAATGTAACCTGTCTTCTAAGTGTCTTCTCAATGTAACCTGTTTCTAAGTGTCTTCTCAATGTAACCTGTTTCTAAGTGTCTTCTCAGTGTAACCTGTTTCTAAGTGTCTTCTCAGTGTAACCTGTTTCTAAGTGTATTCTCAGTGTAACCTGTTTCTAAGTGTCTTCTCAGTGTAACCTGTTTCTAAGTGTCTTCTCAGTGTATCCTGTCTTCTAAGTGTCTTCTCAGTGTAACCTGTCTTCCTAGTGTCTTAACAATGTAACCTGTCTTCTAAGTGTCTTCTCACTGTTTTTTGTCTTCTAAGTGTCTTCTCAGTGTAACCTGTCTTCTAAGTTTCTTATCAATGTAACCTGTTTCTAAGTGTCTTCTCAATGTAACCTAATTCTAAGTGTATTCTCAGTGTAACCTGTTATAAGTGTCTTCTCAGTGTAACCTGTTTCTAAGTGTCTTCTCAGTGTATCCTGTCTTCTAAGTGTCTTCTCAATGCAACCTGTCTTCTAAGTGTCTTATCAATGTAACCTGTCTTCTAAGTGTCTTCTCAATGTAACCTAATTCTAAGTGTATTTTCAGTGTAACCTGTTTCTAAGTGTCTTCTTAGTGTAACCTGTCTTCTAAGTGTCTTCTCAGTGTAACCTGTCCTTGCTCCTTTGCTCTACCACTATCCGCTTTCTCTTGTTTGTTTATTAACAATATCTATAACCTGAGATAGGTTCACTGAAATTCGGCTACATATGTTAATAATGGAAGAAAAAACATCCTGTATAATGCAAGTAATAATTTTAATGAAGGAAGGCTTTATTTCAGTAAGAAATCATTTTCTATATTAAGGTTGGTTCTAGATGCCTATTATGTCTAATATGAGTTAATATTTTTGTGAGATAGGGCGCGTGCTACACTTCGAATGTTAAGCATTTTACCTGACGTCATCCCAATTGTTTACTTTAGATAGAAAATGGAGTTATATCGCAGTACGACGCAATTGCTGCGATGCACAACGCTCAAGTTGCAGGTTCTGCACATGGTGGACCCAATTTCCTCGGTTGGCACCGTGTATATTTATTCACGTAAGTAATCATTAAACAGCGTGGATATATTTAGAGTAACGACTGCAACGTATGTATATATATATATATATATATAAGATGCTCTGTGTATCGATAAGATATTTGAAAAGGATAAAATCATGTTGATTTTATTCCTTTCAAATACATATATACATGATCAATGACTTAGTAGCAACAATACGGACAAGCGAATTGTCAAATTTTCGGGACAATCTGACCCTTTATCAAGACAAAAATTTCACAGGTATATATCTAACAGTTCCTTGTTCTGTTCAGTTTAACAGTTCCTTGTTCAGTCTAGTTAAACAGTTTCTTGTTCAGTCTAGGTTAACAATTCCTTGTTCAGTCCAGTTTAACAGATCATTGTTCAGTCCAGTTTAACTATTCCTTGTTTAGTCTGGTTAAACAATTCCTTGTTCAATCTAGTTATACAGTTCCTTGTTCAGTTTAGTTCAGCATTTCACAGTTGCAGTATAGTTAGACATTTGACTATTTTAATTCAGTTGCATTTTGTGTTTGTTTTTCCCATGTTACAGACTAGAAAATGCACTGAGATCAGTCAGTCGACAGTGCCGGAGAGTAACCTTGCCCTATTGGGACTGTTCCGCAGAGTACTACAGCGACCAACTCTTCAATGGAAACAGTGCAAACTCTATCATATTTTCTGACGATTTTGCTGGAAATGCGGATGGTGTGGTCACTACCGGTCCTTTTAGTGACTGGGGATTGGTCAGAAATATCGGGTTTGCTGGGTCTTTATTTGGTCGAGATGAAATCGATGATATGCTGAGCAGGATAAGTCACGAAGAGATTACAGTTCCGTTTGCCCAATCACGGTACAACCTAGAATTTTACCACAATAGGATACACGTGTTTCTGGGAGGGTTTCTTATGGACATCAGCCTTGCTCCAAGAGATCCATTGTTCTTCCTTCTACATACTTATATCGATTACGTGTGGGAACTTTTTCGACAAAGCCTAATATCTCGTGGGATTGATGCTGAAAGGTATCCCCCGACGGGCGGATTAGATTTTCGCCACGCCCCTGACCGTCCAATGGAAGGGTTCCCGGAGTGGCAAAATAAGGACGGTTATCTAAATGACTGGAACGATAGAATTGCACATTATAAACCGAGCTTTCATTGCGAGCAAGAAAGAAAATGCAGGAGAGGACCTCGTAGGGGGCGTTGGATCGGTTGCCGCAGGGTGGGCATTTTCGGGACACAATGTGTGTCCCTTCCCCAGAGGAACAACCAGGGCGAAACAAGAAGACGGCGTTCAGCATACGTGAAAGACAAGTCGACTTACACCCATGTTCAAATGTGCGACAAAGAAACATGTCCATACCAAGAAAGTAGCATACAGAATACATACGCTCTAAATGATCAAATTGATCCTTCTCTGTGGGTTTACATCCTTGCCAAGATTGTTTACGAAAGGTCTCCCGGATTGATGTTCAACACATATGATACTTTCACCAAGAGTCACAACATGGACGTGTTTGATCCTTCCCGTAATGATAGACTGAATAAGATGCTGTACACAGGAAAAGCGCGAACTTATGACTCGTGTCGTATAAGCAGAACGGGTGCCACTAAAATTTTTGTCCGAGCTGACGGAATAAGTTACAGTGGCAATTCAATAGAATATGCTATTGTAGACGAGAGATATCCTATTATGGTACAAAAGGCTTTCGTTCCTATTAAAGACCCCGGATATGATACTAGCGAAGTCTGTTTAATGGCTTACGATGAATGTGGAAGGATTTGCCTCCCAACCTGCTTGGTCAAAGATTCTGATCCACCTATGTACGCACCATGCAGCGGATGTATCCGAGTTGACAGTAAATCTCCAAAACGGTATGGAAAAACCATAGCTGACGTCACAGCGGATCACTGGATGTTCCACAACTTACATAAGAAGGATTTCGTTTGTCCGGAAGAAATCAATGATCATGTATTCCTAAAGTTCGTGTGTGATTCATCATCAATGTTTCCATGGCAGAGATTGGGAGAATAATCCCACAAGAGCTTCCAGAAACCCTTTACTTACTCTAAATCTCTGTTCCCTATATATGTCTTTCTTATCTAATATAGTCATTGGATTTCAATGGTTTTGTTTATTTTTTTTTTCATTATGATTTAGAATACAAAAACATGTAATATCACTTCATATGCCACTATTTACAACCATCACGGGTTCCATGGAGTAACGAAAATTAATTTTCCAAGGATTTTGCATTTCACTAAGTTAAATTTTGGATTAAGACAATACCTCCAAACAGTATTCATTTCAGTCCCATTTCTTGAATAGCTACATCCTTTCCCTTTCAATGGAACCTCTCAAGGACTTATTGTGTGTTTTGCACAATTTTTACGGTGGTCCTTACAAGTTCTTGATGTTTTTATGAAGCAAAACTGTAATGTTACTGTTTTTGTAAATTCAAATGTGAATGTAAAATGTAAATATTCAAAATCAATGAAGAGGTACATTGTTTCTTCTCACACTTAACAAGTAAAAATTAATAGGTGTATAATTTCTACTCCAAAGCCGTATACACTGTCTGTCCTGTGTCGTCCGTAAGAATTTGCGGTGGATAAACGGGAGGGTCACTGCCTCACGCTTGGCATTTGAGCGTGTACAAATCTTATGCCCTACCCGCAGTGCAGACAATTGAAATGCATGTTTTAAATGATAATTCAATTAAAGAATCGCCATTTTTGGTGTGAGGAGAAACTCCGTTACCCTTCGAGACAGAAATCATGTGATTTTAAACATGAATTGCTTTAAATCTATTTGCCGTCACAAAAGTACTGATATTGTAATGTGCATCACGAAGTACGTGCAGAATGCATATAACGACCTAGAGGGGTTATATTGGAAAAGAAAAGCACATTCATCTATGGAATCGGCAAGAGTGGAGCGAAAATCGATTGGGTGCATATATAATATCTTAAATCTTGTTTCAATTCCGTGGCAAAAGGTTTATGTACGGTGTACAAGCATCCGAAACAAGACAAAAACTACGTATAAAAAACAAAAACAAAACGAAGAAAACAGGATCCAACACATGTAACGTCAAGAACAGCAGCGGCTTCAGTACAAATACAGGATAGAATTATGATTACGGCATGTAAATGAGAATACTGAATAATGTCAAGAAAATAGACTCGGAAATTATGACAAAATAAGAAAAAATACATAGCAACTGTTACTGTCGCTATCAACATCTAAAGGAAGGGCATCTATCTTACAGAAGTAAAGTTTACACCGCCAGCGTTGAGGGATCATGGCATTATATATTTCGATATCAGTTTTACACGCATAAATATGTCATAAATAAAATATAAATTTCTAAATTTCGATAAGAGCATTATAGTGCCTGATCCTGTCAAACGTGTAGCTGGCGTTCGGCGTGTCGTAACAGTTGTCTGTAGCCTGTCTGGATGAAGGCTAGGAGACGAGCCGCTGGGTGAGGCTTATAAATTTTTGAATGATGTTCTATACGTGTATAAATCAATTTCCTTGATAAAGTGTATTTCTGCCTTGACCCTATTCTTTCAACGACTGGATAGACATTTTATCCTTCTTATTATTAAAAAAAAATACACTCACACAAAGTGATTTTTATCACGTGAAGAGGATGAACGTTCCTGACAAGGGCCACCGTTTGAAGTCCCATCCGCCGCCCGATGGTCAAATATAAAAGCCAAATTAATTGCCTTTCGTGTAGGACCTTTTTCAAGGAGAATTATATTGGTATTTATCATATCTATGAAAATGGCGCAAATCTATGTCCATGGTTTTACGGCTACATGTATGAAAATTCAGTAAATCCCGACGGTTCCGAAAATAACGATCCGTTGCGGTATGGCTGATTTTAAATATTCAGAACTTGAGGTTTTTCAACATATTTGACTTGTATAGCAAGCGCTTTATGGTATTGCGTGTGTTTCTTCAAAACCCACAAGCTTAAACTGCCCATTCGATCAACTTTAAACGGGAGTCACGCTGGATCTTCGTTACTGCCCACGATACATTTACCGCAGTATGTAATGAGGACTGTGGACCGTTTCATAGATTAATTTGAATCTCAAAGAACTCAAAAGAGCTTTTGACCGATCCGAGATCTTCAACACTTTCTTATAAAAAACTTTTTTTTTCTATAAGAGCATTTTATTTTTCTACTCAGTAACAACAATATCCCATTCCACAGTCTCCTGTAATGAGCTTTCCTTTCCAAGGTTAACGCTGGTATAACTATGATGGCTGGGAACTGTACTGAATGGTATTTCGTGAAAAATACGTCCAAATCAAAGAACAACTAGGCGGAGGACGAAATCATCTGGTCGGCATCATCTTCATCGAGGTCGGTGGCATGATCTTCCGACAGACTAATATTCCTTTAGCTCATTAAAGATTTAAGGGGAAGTAACTCCCACATCAATTAACGTCACCAGAATCAAAATGTAACAGAAGGTTTGTTTTTTTTAAACATAGCAGTAATATTAGGATTTTTTCAATGCTGTCAGTTAGTTTTTTTTCAAATCAGACAGTTTTAGAGAAAATGAAATAAAAGCACGGGTGGTCAACATGTAATTCTGACCCAACACGCTACCTGGTGGTCCGGTGAACTGAGACAGTATGATCCTGTATTTAGTATACCGGAAGCAACTGAAATATTGAGCGACGGAATGATGGCCGACTTGCTTACTGGGAAATGAATGGTATTTGTTTTGTTTTTTTTTTACTCTTTTACTGATGATATACGCTACATCTAATACGGAAGACCGTAATATTTCTTATCGTTTTGTCATACACGCATTTCATTGCGCTGTTCGTCGTGAAATTCACATTCGTCGCTTTCACTTTCGCTTTCCTCTGTCTTGAATTATCAAAATAATACAGTAACATTTATTTTCTTTAAACTTTCCCGTCCTTTATCTTCTGAATGAAATATTTATACTGTTATCAGAGTTTTCATCGTGATCAATACATTAATGGTTGCAGTTATGAGTATCGGCCCGATTAAACTGCGCATTAAGGTAGCACGATTATTGTAACTTGGAATTTCCTGTCACCCAGAATAAAACGTTAGACATTTATTAGTGAGAAAGTCTCCTTTTCGGAATTCTAAAGACTTGTTTTGTCAAAAGAAATGGATTCTGGGTTACTGATACTATTACTCTCGAAGTAGATATTTTGAAATATGGTAATTTTAAAAAGATCGGTATTGTTTGTACATGTAGGTCTACATTGTACATACATGTAATATATATTGTAACTTCACTGATGACGATTGCTTCTTTGTCTAAGTTGGTAGAACTGTGCACCATCATGCCGGAGATCTTGGTTTGATTCCTGTCAATTTGTTCGTGAGGAATGAATGAAGATGACTTAAAAAGTTGTGCCAATTCTTCCAAGGGTCATAATAAGGTTTAAACTCACACTTCTGATTCAGGATCAAGACTTCTCACTGAATAATAACATAAACTGTAAGTATTATCAATATACATATGAATGTATGCTAAAAAAATAAGTGGTTCAAAGTTGGTAAATATCAGATTTCTTTTGCTGGCAACATAACGGGCACTGCAGTTAACAGTTGATTGAGGATGAACTATATCATGCTTAATAATTGTGTATTAACTTTCTGTGTTAGTAAAAGTTTTGATCTAATTGTCAAAATGGCTTAAACATCTGGGCCCGTATTCATGAAACCGTTCTCATGCTCAAGAATGAATTTTGTGCTCAATCCTTATGTCTTGTATAAGTTAAAAATTAATAAATACAACTGATTTTACCAAAGATTTGAAAAAAAAGATTGAAGGGATTTCAAGTCAAAGTAACATGCCATGTTTGTATTTGACATTTTGTATGATTTAGATGAATTATAAAAAAGTTCACTTGAGCACAAAATCTATGCTTGAGCATGAGAATGTTTTCATGAATACGGGCCCTGGTGTAATGGCCAGAGGAAATCGGCGCTAATGATTGTATCCCTGTAAAATGGAGATCAAGTGGACACCCTAAAGGGCTTGACAGTTTGATAATTCCTACAGAAATAAGAAATTTAAACAGGCAATGAGTATTGGAAACATAATTATTCTCCTAAGATAGTGATGTACTATTATAGATTTTGATAAATCTTTTTTTTTTGATTTTTGTAGAATTCCAATGAAGTGCCACTGAAGGAGAAGCAGAATGGATTCAGCCACAGATAATTGTGCGATATGTTGGGATGACTTTAAAGAGCCAAAGTTATTGAAGTGCAGTCATTCCTTTTGCTGCAAGTGTCTGAGGAACTATACTCGAAAAAACAGAGGACGTAGTGAGCTGACATGTCCTCTTTGTCGGCAAGTTTGGGAGATACCTGACAAAGGTGTTGATGGTTTCCTGACAAATTACTTTATAGCAGATATATATGTGAAACAAGAAGGAGTTCTTCTGCCATGTTGCTGCTGCAAAAAGGAACGAGTCCTGAAAACTTGTTCACACTGCAATCAGACGATGTGTAGTGAATGTGCGTTTGACCATCGTGAAGCACTGCGGCTGTCAGGTGAGGATCATCTGACTGTATTTGACTGTAGAGATGACAACATTATTGATTCTGACTCTGATGAATATGAGTCTCTAGAGTCTGGACGACGTCAACAGCGGCGCAATTCATCATCAATGGCTATACCATTCTCTTTGTCTATAGCCTTGCCCCCTATCAGAACCAACTTTAAGGTAGAACTGTTAACAACATTTTTTATAGAGAGTGAGTTTCCTGGCAGCAGTGAGCGTCCATTCATTAACTGTATACATCCAATATCAGAGGATGAATGTTGGATAATTCCCACAGCTGGACCAGATTTAGTCCGTTATAACGCAGAAGGAGAGAGAAAGCAAATCATTCACCTTGGAGGTATAATTACATCAGTGGTCTGTCAGCCCGATGGAAATTTTTTGATATCTCTCTGGGGAGACAGGTCTATTGTGGCACTGTTGGCAGATTCCATGGTCAAGGGGTTCTCAAACACGGGCGACATCCATCCTCATTCTATAGCTGCCTTCCCAGATGGACGTGTGGTGTTTTGTGGGCCTTCATCAAAACCTGCTGAAAAATCAGACCCAGAAAAGAATAAAACAACTGTGAATGAAGGAAGTCTCTCAATATTAACTAAGGAGGGCTCTCTGATTAGGGAAGTTAGATACTCCAGGAGTCGTCCAATATTTGATAATCCTGCAGGAGTTGCTGTCAATCCTGTTCTTGGATCTATAGCAGTCGCAGATAAGGGACGAGGATGTGTTTTCCTTCTATCACCAGACGGAGAAATTCATTCTCAATACAAGGGAGCTAACCGCAGGCATCATTTCCCATTTCTTTTATCTCAGGAAGATACACAATTTCTACCACTGAATCTGTGCTTTGATCAGGTAGGCAACCTGTACGTACTCGATGCATCCTGTAGGCTGATCCATGTGCTGAATCCTCAAGGGCAGTTCCTTGGTATGATGGCCCCAGGAGACATCGATGAGTTTTCACATCCCTTCAGTATAGCTGTAGATCACAAAGGCAGAATCTGGATTGGTGATGAGACAGACCACTGTGTCAGAATTTTCCAGACTTGTAATTATGTTAATCATTTTCTTAGAGACAATTAATGATTACATTAAACCTTTTTATGGGAGGATATATTTTTATAAGTGTTATTTAATATCAATCTACAGAGTTTATATAGATATGTGTGATTTGTATCAGAGACTTTATATTGGTGACACATCTTTAGTGATTTATGTTTTTCACAATTAGGAAGAAAGTTGACTGGTGTGTACTGTCATCATTGTAACATAAACAGCAAGACACTTAAGTCTGATTGCTCTGGATGTCATGCAATGGACCAAGTCTACTGTGTTTTTCTCAGTGAGGAAATCACCAATATCAAGAGATTTGTCCTAGAAATGATCCAGGTCATTCACAGAACAGTGAGTCTAGCGAACAATACTTTGTGTTAACATAATTGATAGACTTATGAAAAGCAGAATGATTTTGTAGGTCTATGTGTATGTGATATATTGATTGCACAAGTATCAATGATAACAACTCTCCAGATTTTATATTAAAATTGACGCTGTCAGCCTGTGTATGTGTAATATATCAGTACATGATATTAAAAGGGAAAAAAATGTGAACTATTGATATTTTCTCTTTACATATATATATGTGTGTGTTCATATTCTCAAAAAAAAATCTGAAAATGATTGCTTAAGTAACAACAGATACAACACAGCACTTTATTCCATTACTTTTTTAAAATGTGGACAAATAAAAATTCTCATTCGTTTTCAGCTTAATTACTAAGTCAGTGGTTAAAACAGATATAAAGCCCCGATCAGCTTGCTCATACTTGCCGTGTATTATTTTTACATGTAAGAAAATCCTGGTATAAAATACATAACATCTGTAATGTTATAAAAATAGTAGTTGTCTATATTGTAAATAAAATGGAAATTTATGAAATGCTGTCATTCAGCTTTTGTGAGAAGTACAACCCCAAATCTTCAACCTGTAAGGTTAGCATTGTTACCAGACTGATCATAGCTGTCGTGACGATTACCGAAGGTTATATATAATCATTAACAAACTCAATGTGACATGTTAAATATCGGATTTGAACATCCATAATATACAATGAAATGCTTGCAGCCCTGTATCTGGACTTGTCATACCATTGATTTTCGTATGTAAATTGTAAATATTTATCCTTTGTTAATGGAAACTTTGTTTCAATTCTCATTCCAAAGCTTTGTTTGTGTAATGTCATTATTTCTTAGTTGTCAACATAATGATAACTTACGGTATTATTGTGATAATACGTCTACATCTTCAATGATTTGTCAATTGTAATGGAAGTGATGAAACACATGACATTGTCATGATGAAATATTTGTGTTTGTTATGATAACATTTTGTAAATGAAATTATGAAATATTTGTCATGGTAATGTCCATTACCATTTGATATAGTATTGATGAAATATTTGTCATTGTGATGTCAATGACTATTTGACATTGTAGTGATGAAATGTTTGTCATTGTAATGTCAATGGCCATTTGACATTGTTTTAATGAAGTATTTGTCATTGTAATGTCAATGGCCAGTTGACATTGTTTTAATGAAGTATTTGTCATTGTAATGTCAGTGACCATTTGACATTGTATGGGGAAGATTTCGTAATGAATAGTGCTTTATTTATCAACAATTTGTTATATGTGATTGGAATGATAAAAGATTTCATGTTAAATTAATTTTTTTTGTCCTCCAAGCTGTATAATCTAATTGTTAATCATTGTGATAATTTTTCATTTTTTTTTATAAGCAGGTATGATGATCCTGTGTACTTGACTCAATTTTTCATGTTTATTTAAATAAATCCTACTTCGTGGATAAATCTACTTGTTCATTGTCATATTAATTCCCTGATTACGAGTACCCATGAAACGAGAAAAAAAAGAAATTGTTTGATTTTGAAAGCTAATCAGAATGACAAATTTGTCAAAGACAGCCACCCATTCCCAATCTGTTATAAAGTTTGTTATTAATCTTTCTCAAATTTTCTTTGTAAATTATCCTTGCATGTTTAATTTTGAGACTGATAAAAAATGGGGAATGACACTTTGATGTAGGCAAATCAAATCTATTATTACTATGGCTGACAAGTCATATTTTTGTTCCTCTTGGTGTTATACAGGACATCAACAATTTTATTGTCATGTTATCATAGTTATATACCTCGGAATCATCATTGATGGTTCATTCTCATTTCAGTCGACTAATGTCCCATTAATCCTTGGTTTTGGGAGTATTTTTTATTATAAAAAATAGAAAGTAAAACAGTTGCTTCCCCTTATCTGGAGTGTTTGCACAAACAGTTCTTGGACCAATCTGAAAAAAAGAAAGAAAAGAAAACAGCATGGCTGACAGTGACTACACAAAATACTGAAGAAGATGAGATATCATGATTTGTATTTTTTCATCTTACAAAATTAAATGGTATCGCGGAATTTTATTTGATCACTTATATATCAACTGAAATGGAATTATCCATGTTCCTGTAATGCACTGGCAAATGAATTAAAATTTTTAAATGAAAATTCTCAACAATTACCAAGATGCCAAGAATTAATTGATTCCACTACAGTGAATAAGGGTGTGAGGGCAAAGGACTGTAGGGTTTGTTAAAATGAATGACCTTGACCAATTTTCAAGTTCACAAAGTCAAAGTGCGGAATCAAATGATTTCTGCTAGAACCAATAGCAATGACATTTTACTAGTATTGTGTTTGGAGAACTCTTCCAAGGTCACGGTCAGCTGTGAAAAAAAAAACTTCAAAAGAAGTCCAACAGGTCTGGGCTGGGTTAATGATATAGGGTGGCAACATTCTTGGACAAAATCAAGTTTGTCGAATCGAGAAACTACATTCCTTATCACAGAGGAAACTCTGCTGAAATGAAAACTCTATAGGGTCAAGAGTCATGAAATTAAGCTGGTAGCATTCTTTATCAAAAGGATATATGTCTTTAAGGATTGATCTTCAGGTACACAATAATATTTTCATATAAAGGAAAAGGTTTGGGTATAAAAAAATATATACCCACTGCATAAAATATTCATTAGATTTTACCAGCATATAAATTATTAAATACACAGATGAAGTCATAATATTTATTTGAAATAAAAATTGTGAAATCATTTACAATATTGTTTTCTTTTCAGAATAAGGCTGTGACAACATGTATATCTATATATAAGGTATGTAAATCCATCCAAGAATTATTTCATAAGCATACCAGTGGTATGAGCAGGTGATGGACATATGTCCTAGTATTGGTATTGTTAAAGCCTTTTGACTTAGAAGTATAACACTATAATACACGAAAAGGCAATGCACATAAAATAAAATGGCGGACATAGAACCAGAACCTTAAAGTTGCCCACACGATTGGAAAACGCCATTCATAGCGGAGGTTACAGATAAGACCAGGTTATGGTTAAGATTTGAAACTACAAATTTTTGAAAACCTTACAAATTCACCCACCCTATATTCAACCGGGGAAGAGATTCCAAATTTAAGAATCATATTGGCTTACAGGGTCTGGCAGACATATGTAAAGGACACAGAAAAATATGTAATGATATATATATATATAATGTACATTGTATTATTCTTCTCATATCTTTACAAGCCACTGTGACTAAGAATCATATTGGCTCATAGGGAGTAGTGAAGATTTATGAAAAGAATTAAATTTAAGATAAATACATAATGACCTATAAAGACAAGCCCCTGTGATTGGCTAGAATTTCAATGGCATTCTCAACCAGAAACTCGTTATAGATAGAAAGGACTTTGATATTTTATCCATATCGTCTTTGTCTATCATCTCTCTGCTTATAATCTAGTTCAACTCTAAATTAAAGAGTTGTCTCCCTTTAGCTAGAATTAACCCCAGGTATAAAATACATCCAAGAGTTGTCTCCCTCTATGTAGAAGTATTGCGTTGTTCACAATCTCTGTTCGATTAACATCGATTTTGAATTTAAAACTAATTCAGCAAAGCATCATTTACCGTGATCGAACATAAGTAATATTTGTTTCGGTTACTTCATTGTATGATAGATCTGACTTCAGATGAAAAATTACTGTTTCAGGATTTTACTTCTTTCTGTCTTTTGTTCATTTTTTGCATTCATCTTTATTGAATTTGAGTTTGGATTATGGTTGTGTTGACATCTCGTTGTTTCTTGTTGCTTTTTGGGAACGTGACATTAATTTTTGGACTAACAGTAATTGAACGTCGATTAAGCAGAAGATAATACCTTTTTGAGCTAGTGTAAGATTCTGTTGGCGTTTTGTTTTGTTTTTAGTTCACCATTATAAGTCTCCAAACAGACAAGATAAAAATTTAATCAGAAATGTTTAACCAAATGTGTTTTTCTCAAATGAAAAAAAAAATCGAAATATCTGCTGATTATATGATAAATGAAGGACGAGATTGTATCATTAAATGTAGACCTATCTGACTTGTATGGGTTACAGAGAGACTTGATTGTGTACACACGCAACATTTTCTAAATGATATCATCGAGATAAATACGAAATTATATGGGATTTGGTTAATTCACAAATCACCAACAGATTCCTTTCCGAATTTATTTCTCGACACTGACCTTCGACAAGACTTGACAATTTTTTTTCTCAGAATCACGGTAAAACTAAGATGACTTATGATATGACACAAACAAAGGAATTCACACTCGCACACGCACAAAAAAGCACACACACACACACACACACACACACACACACACACACACACACACACACACACACACACACACACACACACACACACACACACACACACACACACACACACACACACACACACACACACACACACACACACACACACACACACACACACACACACACACACACACACACACACACACACACACACACACACACACACACACACACACACACACACACTCACACACACACACACACACACACACACACACACACACACACATACACACACACACACACACACTCTCACACACACACACCCAACACACACACCACACACACACCACACAAACACACACTCACACACACACATCCAACACACACACACACACACACACACACACACACACACACACACACACACACACACACACACACACACACACACACACACACACACACACACACACACACACACACACACACACACACACACACCCACACACACACACACACACACACACACACACACACACACACACACACACACACACACACAAACACACACACACACACACACACACACACACACACACACACACACACACACACACACACACACACACACACACACACACACACACACACACACACACACACACACACACACACACACACACACACACACACACACACACACACACACACACACACACCAACACACACACACACAAACACACACACACACACACACACACACACACACACACACACACACACACACACACACACACACACACACACACACACACACACACA